TCAAATCGGAAGTGAATTCATGATTTACATGGAGTTTTGAAGAATTGTTAAATGATAAAAGCTAAAAATAAAAGACTTTGAAATGAAATATTAAAAAACGCTCTGAAATCGCAATGAGTCAAGATTTTGTACCCATTTACATAAAAAAAAACAGAATGTTCAACTGCTATTTCTGACACAAATTGCAGCTCAAATTCAAATTTTATAGCATGATTTAAAACAGACTTTCATAAAAATCAAATTTTTTTTCCGCAAAAATACTAAAAAAAACTCAAATTTTTAATTTCGCAAAAATTCTCGCAATAATACTTTTTTCGCAAAAGTATTTTATGCACATTTACCTCTTCTCTTCACACACTTTTATTATTTTGTCTAAATCAAAAATTTATATGGGTTTTATTTTTATAGTTTTATAAACATTAAAAAATTTTATTTGGACCAAAAAGAAATAAATTTTAGCAAATATCATTTAGTATGACTTGCACGTCACTACAGTTTTACTAGAAATTATTCTCAATATAGCGAGATAATAAAGGTAAGATGGATTGAGGAAAGTAGTAAAGCAAATCTACGAATTGATGAACCCAAGAATCAACGTACTAGTCAATGTGTGAATCAATTTATCAGTTTGTAAATGCTTAAATAAAATTTTATAAACTTATAATATCTAGTAAAGCAATCGGCAATCACAATTTAAAAAATTGAAAAAATCTTTATCTATTTCATAACTTTCCTATTTTTTCACAAATAAACATACGTCATTTTTTGTTATAAATTAGAAAAATCTTTATTAATAAAAATTTCAATTTTAACTTTTAATTCATTAATAAAGAAGGAAAAGTTTTAAATATATTACTTATCAGTTTAACCAAATTACCAAGAACAGTCTTCACCCAGGATCCCCTTGTTTTTTTTTCTGTCATTCATCATTACGAATTTTCCTTTCTTTTCTTAATATAATCTCTTTTCTATAGTTGTAATAAAGTTTAAATTTCACCTATACAAACCAATCTCTAAAGCATGGTTTCATGAAGAAAACAGAAGGTTTTTTTTTATTTCATTATCAAATGTGGGCGAAAATCAGAGTGAAAAAATTGTAGTCAACAGAAAAGCAAAGTTACTACTTGTTAGTTAAAAAAGAACTGTATTCACACAAATTAGTAACGTACGAAACTATTTTCTGATCCTAAGTATTATGACTTTTTTACTTTTTGTGTTGTTATTTGTCACGGATTTAGAAATAGTTCTTTAAACTTACGCGTCTTATGCATATTTAGTATATTAAATCATTTTGCACAAAATCAAGGAAAGGTTCTCGATCTTGGACTTAATTACTTTGTTTAACGGTTACATTTATCTTGTGTTCTTTAATCAACATCCTCATTTTGTATTTTTATGATCATTGTCGAAAAAGAAGCAAAAAAATATCCACTTTAGGGCTTGTGAATTAATATTAAACAGAGGGGAAAAAAACAAAAGCACTTCAAAAATCATTTGAATCACTAGTAGGGAAGGGGACATGGGAAGGAGTCCCGCCTTCCACAGCAGTGATTCGTTAGCTTGCAACATCGTTTTTGTTTTTTCCTGTTTGCTTTTTACTTCATTTTCGACAACACTTGGAAAAGTATATATTTATTGAAGGGGTGGTTCTGGCACAATTTATTAACCTGGGTAATTAATATAGTTTGCTAGCCCTCTCGGAGCAGGATATATTAGGACATTATACTTGTCGCTTGATAGTCCTTGCGCGAAGAGAACCACAGGCTTATGGGGCCGGGTGACCTGCTATGCCACCATCTCTGCATTTAACTTTAATTACATAAAACATAACAAAATTACATAAAACAAGCAAAAAATAACAACGACTTAAACCTAACAGTTTGTCAAGTATGCATGTTTGCAATGAGACTCAATTTACAAAAGCACAATGCCGTTACATAGTGTCCGCAATTAATTATTATTTAGTAGTATTTGTAAGCAGTTAAATGAATTATTTTATCAAGTTTTAACATCCTATTTATAGTAGATTCTATCAGTCCCATCATCCAAATACAAGACTTTGAAGTTAGACTCATCATCATCATAGTTGGTCAGACATCCCAATGTGAGCCAATGCCTTCCTCTGAAGATTTTTCCATGATGACTTCCGATTCACCTTTGATCACCAATTCTTTTCAATTAATTGCGAGAAAATCAGACTCCACTGAGTCAGCCCATCTCAACCGCGACCTTCCCCGCTTTCTTGTTCCAGCGGGTCTATAAAGCAGTATCTTTTTTATTGTATTGTCATCACTCATTCGAATCACGTGGGCCATCCAATTCATTCTATCTATTTTTATGTATTTAATAATATCAGGTTGTTTGTAAATCTTGTACAGTTCAAAGTTGAATCTCCTTCTCCAGTTATTGTTTTCATACAGTTAGACTAAGTGAAGTTAAAAATTAAAAAATTGAGCTAAAAGATTAAATTTTTTCTAGATTAGTTTAAGATTTAAAAACAGTTAATTTAAAATAAGTAAAAACCGGTTGCGCAACAAGAAAAAATTTTGTTAAAAATTAGGAACAATCCGACTGATAAATTTTACTGAACAAATACCTGAGTAATTATGATTTATTTTCTCTTTTAGGAAGCTATTAGCAGAAGACGTCATTAAACAGTATCTACATATTAGCCGTTTTTCCAAAGCAGTGGTAAGTTACTTTTTATTTTTAAACCTAATAATTTTCTCGTATTTCTAACTTCTGTTCTTTTCAAATGTCTCAGCAGAGGCAAAATATACTAGTTTGCCGAGTTCGCCAAATCATTTAACTTCGATACAAACAGCTATTTATAAGCTTATTTGAATGCAAATGTTTTCAATAATTATTAGAACACATAAAATTATCATGATATTCAGATAATTTAGATGAATAAATCTACTAGTTCAAAAGCTCATGAACGGAAAGTACGTAATAGAGAAACGCCTACGATGAAATTTCTGGTCATGAGTTGTTTGCTATACAATTGGATACCTGCAAGGAACGTCATCGTAAGCAAATCGTGGCATTTGTTGATTTAGAAGCCAATTAGTTTCGTCACTCACGCGTAACGTCGCTTACAAGTATCAAATTGAATCTGATTTAAATCACATGGTTGTGTCTAATCAGTTATTCTTCAAGAGTTGCAAGTATCCAGTCCTTAATTCTTATGATGTGCTTTACCTCCCCTTCAAGTTTATAATCACTATACAGAATCACCCTGTATACATTATACTGATTTAAACGTTATTATTTTCTTAAATATTTGATCCAGCAACTTAAGTTTGAATGGAAATAATTTTCTTTTACATTGTGTAGTATTGTATTATTTGGACAGTTACAAAGTTTTTTTTTATTTTTAAATTGCAAAATATTACAAAAATATATATTTAAGAAAGTGAGTATTTATTTGCTGCCTCCAATCTGCACATTTTTTGTTTTTATTTTTTATTTTCGATGCATATTAACCATAGATAACTAAACTTAGTGTTGATATGTAATAATAATGTAACTAATCATTAAAAAATATAAGCATGGTAAAATTATTTTTCCACTCTTGGCAGATGTTAAAAATGTGATCTCTACTAATTGCCTTTTTGCAATAGTTCCATGAACATTTTATCATTCTGCGTTTGCTCGCCCCTTTTTAGTCGTGTCTTCTGTGGGCTTTTTATTATTCAAAATATAGAAGTAAATATTTTAAAGGAAATACGCATTCATCTGTTAGACGAAGGTTACAGCAAATCTCGATAAGTATCAAGTGTGCAGTCATGCTTCTCATATTCGGATGGCAGTTATGAAGGTACTGTAAGTGATACAGTGCAAACTCAACGAAAAGTAATAAGTGTACAGCCACGCTTCTCAAATTCGCATAACAATTATGAAGGTACTATGAGTGATACAGTGTGAGCTGAACGAAAATTAATAAGCGTACAGCCATGTTTCTCATATTCGGATAACAATTATGAAATAACTGTGAGTGATATAGTGAGAGTTCAACGAAAAGTAATAAGTGTACAGCCATACTTCTCATATCCGGATAACAATTATGAAATAACTGTGAGTGATACAGTGTGAGCTCAACGAAAATTAATAAGTGTACAGCCATACTTCTCATATTTGGATAACAATTATGAAATAACTGTGATTGATATAGTGAGAGCTTAACGAAAAGTAATAAGTGTACAGCCATACTTCTCATATTCGGATAACAATTATGAAATAACTGTGAATGATATAGTGAGAGCTTAACGAAAAGTAGTAAGTGCACAGCCATACTTCTCATATTCGGATAGCAGTTATGAAGGTACTGTGAGTGATGTAGTGTGAGCTCAACGGGAATATCTGAAATTCGCAGAACTGACAGTAATCGGCGTGTTGATTTAATATGGGTTTTGATAGTCCCATGAGGGTAATGCAAGTCTCACGCTGTTAACGAGATTAACAAATTTTTTAATAAACGAGGTCTTCAGACAGTAAATCAAACTTAACTATTAAGGAAATTTTAAATCCCAGAGCATTCCTGGGAGCTCTTGTATAATAGGAGAATCTGCTATAGTTCTGCAAAGCGCAAGCCCCACACTCTAGGTGAGGTTTAGGTCTGGAGATCTTGAGCATCACTACATCCTCTAAATATCTTCGGTTTCATTGTATTTCTCGGCCCACATGTGGACCATACTGTATGTGGAAGTGTATATTCATCTATAAAAAAACTGGTGAACCACCGCTTCTGTAGACAATCTTACACAGGTCTTCCAGATCTCCGCCTTTCGTTTCAAAGATGTCAGGGTGCCTCCCTGATATTCCCAAATTATAGGAGACCCTATTGAATTTGTTATGGCAACCTTTAAGTTTCAACAGGCGAAGTAAGCTTGTGTGCTTTTCACCACGTTTTCATCAATTACATACGTCTGACATATTTTATAACATTCTATGTTTTCAATTGAGATATGTTTTAATTGTTATAAAACCTTTCAGAGAACCATCATGTCAGTTATCCTGACGAAACTCTGCATAACTAACCGAATGAATGAAATAGAAATGTTCTGGTACAACAAGGCTAAAAATTTATCTGGATATAGAAAATGGTGCCTCTCAACTTTTACCAGTCGGCGCTTTAATCTGATCATTTACTGGGTGCTAGTTCTGAATCTTGTTCCGATAACAGGCGAAGTTGTAACTCTTTGGCTTAGAGACAGTTCTCAATACAAGATGAATTATCTTCAATACGAGGTTATGGCTTTTGAAATAATCAATGGAGTGTTAGCATTGTTCTACATTTTTGATGCAACTATTGGTGTAAGTTTGCATTTCTTAACATTTATCATTATTTAATGTGAATGATAATAATTATAAAGGTTGTTTTCAATAGTTTTTCGAAACATTTTATATGTTTAAATAACTCTTATTAGTTTTAAGTTGAAATAAAATGTATCAGTAAACATGGGTACTACCTAACAATTAAGTCTTATGATCCCAACGAGATTTTAAAAGCTGTGCTAACTCCATCCGACAAATAATAAAAAACTCTTTTTTTCGTTTTTATTTCGTGATAAAAAAAAAAGTTAACTGCTTATGGCCATGACATGAAAAATATTTTCAAACTTATTCGATCTATGAAATCATTTTATACCATTGAATAGGGGATAATATTTTCTACCTCACACGTTAACAAGCGGAACTCGTAATATAATAAAACTGGTTCCTTACTCACCGCTTGACTGCCTTCATCAAAAATCTATATGGTCTCACGAAGGCCAAAGATATCTTCAAAACTGTGAGTATGGAGCTCATAAGTTAGCTCTAAGCAGTTCTACTGAACTCTAACAGTAGATTATTTAATTATCTACAATTTACAATAGGATTTTATCTATGATCTCATATTCTTTCCATCCCATCATATGAATGGGTGAAAGCCCTCGAGCTTAGACTCAATAACTTTCACAGTTCAATATCCATGACGTGGCTAGGGTCAGTCACAGCTTTAGTTTAGTGACAGGGAATTGAAAAATGGATGAGGAGGAGGGCGAAATCTCCTTTCATTTAGCAATAAAACTTGAAATTTAATTAACCACTATTAAAACTTTATATTCAAATACAATGAACAATTCTTGTGACTGTTTTATTAATGATATAATAATAAGATCTTAGTAAAGTGCAATAATTAATAAGGTATTCATGTTACAATTGTGGAAAATCTCTCCATGCAATGTCTTAATGATTTAATAGATGGGCAATTATATTTAATTAAAAAAATTTTAAAAAAATGGCAAACGTCAATTTTTTAAAATAAAAATTCCTAAAAACCCTTAACTTATAATTGATTTCCGTTTTTTCTCTGACGAAATAACTTTTTTTTCCATGCTCCAATTATCCAGTTGTTCAGTTGTTTATATCTCGTGAGTGTGGTTGAATTAATTTGGATAATCCTAGGTATTCCATAACTTTGAGGCTTATTGTCTTAAATATAAATATCAAAGTAATTATCAATTTTTAACTGATAGATAAAGTTGTAAATCACTAATTTATTTTCAATCATCAGATGCTATACATTTCCCCATTTATTATTTATATTGTTCATAAATCTTTACTACAAAGTCTTATTGAAAGGACTATAACATAAAAACAAAGCTGTCAGATGTAATTTTAGAGCCAAATATATTACCTAAATTGTATAGTAAAACCTTAAAAATTCTTCAAGTGAAACACTATCTCGGAAACTGAGATTAAAGAATTCCCGTTTCGCTTATACATTATTATTTGATATCAAAAGACTTTTTGTTTGTAAACTCCCCCATCCAATTTTTAGAACACGCAGTCTATCAGCTACTATTTTGATCGCTAATAGCAATTTCCGATTAAGTAATTCCCTTAAAAGCAGACCCAGACTTGCTGCTCTCACTGCGTTCCCCATAATCAATCCTACTTAAACGCTTCTAAGAAAGCTGTCAGTTTTGAATAAAGAAAGGTTGCTTCAATGGGGTAAAATCGCCCAGACGAAGTCTATAGGCTACTTAATCTTTTAAATTCATCCTTCAAGTCAGTACAGTAATCCTTGAGAATGAAGTGGCTTTTACTTGTGACAGATTGAAGCGGATGGGTGGAGGCAGTTATGAATATCTGCGGAGAAAGTTTCTGCATGAAGTTCCATTTCGAATTTTCTAGATGTAAAAACTAATAAATGTTTTGTTCTTGACGTGATTTCGTTCAGCTTGTCCGTCAACATATTTAGATGTGATGAGAAATAGAGTCGATGAAAGGAATTTAAAAGTGCCGGATGAAGTTTGTTAGAGATCCCCAATATCTGTAGTTGTATTCATTTAAATCATCACATTATTAAAAAAATTAGAATAAAGTTTTATTCATCTCGAAGATTCTTACTAAAATAAAGTTAAGCTTGAATAGATAAGTATGGTTGAAAACTTTGAATGGGAACAAATTAGCTACGAGATCTCGCTATAGAGTTGAAGTGTTGTTTTATCACTTTAATACAAGAGTGACTTATTCAGAAGGTTAGCAAATATTTATTCACCATAGCTGTTCTATTTTTCATTCAGACTGTTGCCATCCAGCATACAAGAATTGATTTATAATCATCTTGCTTAATCAATTCATTATCGATTAAGAATAATACTACAGAGTAAAATATGCAAATAATTCGACTATGGCAAATTATTCGACTTCTGCCACACCCATACGTCACACCCGTTTATAGGGCGGACCTATTCATACATACATTTATTCATACATACATTTATTCATCCACAGATTGTAATTTTGACCTGAACCCAGAGAATAATCAATCTCCAATTCAGTACTCTCAGAGGTATAATAAGTTATGGGAACATGAAGGACTTTGTGACCCGACAGATTTAACGCGCACCAGTCACCATTTACTACAGGGGCAATCTTCGGTCGACTGTTTTCAATCTTCCATTCTTACGAACGTGAGTTCAGCTTTCTTCCAACCAGGCTATCCTGGCCCCATTTTTTTCTTGTTCATATATATATAAACAATAATAAGAACATTTTTAATTTAACCATTTGCTTTATACCATCATAGGTGGTCTACATGTTGTACCAGCAGTAAGCAAGAGGTTAAAATATATGGATTATTTAAAAACAATTACAGCATTTCAATTTAAATTTTATATTACTAATTTTTTTAAATATTCCATATAATTTTTCGAAAAAATTACATAAATATGTATATTAAATTTTTTTGTTCTTAAAAACTTAATTTTTGAAAAAAATATTTATGTTAAAAAATGATAATTGTGTGCACTGAATAAAACATATAAAATAGTTATCAACCTTTTAAGAAGAGAAAATTAGAAATAAAATTCAATCGTTCCAGCTTGAATTTGAACCACAGACATCCATTACGGAAAGCGGACAACCTAGAACATCACGAATACACATCAGCTGGAAAGTTTTTGTTGCTGAATGAAACAGTTTTTTCGAACAAAACTGATGTAAACTATTTTGTTAGAAACAGTTTTTGTTATAAACTGAAACTTTAATGGAGCATATTACACCCTACAGATCTGGTAGTTCATTCGAACTCTGTCCAAAGTTTCCAAGTATACTCCTTAATTTAAAATTTTCTTTGTTTTAATACGAGTTTTCAAGATGTTTACTTCCCTTGCTAGTGGAAGAATATAATGCAAAATGAGATTTTTCGCTGTTTTATACTTTTTTAATTGCGCAACATTAATTTATTTTACCAGTTCATTAACTTTTCAGAACTCAGAGAAAAAGTCTATAGAGCGATGTGCCTTATTTTTGCTGTAAATCCTTGAATAAATGAAATTGCAAATGACTAAATGTTTTTACTTTATTTAGATAAACTTAACTCAAAGCAAGGTAGTTAATTGTAATTCTCTCACGCATTGTGTGCAGTGAAAAGATATGCATCTGTTATTAAAAGGAAACAGATTAAATTTCAAAAGACACTTTTTTTTTTTTGACATTTGAATTTAAAAGTCAAAATGTGTGGACGGAAAGGGAAAAGTTAAATATGCCTTTAATCATAACCATTGGTATTTAGTTCTAACAAATAAATGAAAAATTGCTATTCACCTTTTTTCGGTAGAAACATAAAATAGATCATTGTCCAATAAAATTTGGAGTAACAAAGCATGTGATATTTTGGAACTTTAATCTATATTTTAAAAAAAATAATTTTGCTAAAAAATAAATTCTGAATCCAGCATTTTTTGAAAGATAGTTTAGTATTTATGCCTTAAAAAAATTCTGATACATCCAAATCAGTTTAAAAATAATTTTTAAAAAAGTAAATTTTTAAAATTTAAAATACAATTTAAAATCTCTACTAAAAATCACGAAAAATTATTCCTTTGAAAATCAGTGTTAAAATCCATTTGAAACTCTAAGAGTTACCCAGCACAGTTTTTTCCAATCCCATTAAACGCATACTTTCATTTCTCACCTTTTTATGTATTTATTTGCAGAAATCTGTAAGGTGATAGTGATCTTCAGACATTGATCTGCAGAACATTATCTATCAGTAAATGTATGTTGAAAAAAATACGATAAAAGATAATTTAAAAATTAATCGAAAATCCGAACGGTATTCATCCTTTCCTTAGTTGATTGAAATACATTTGGGTTCGTTGTTCGAGATTCTGCATAATCCATGGTAGAACTGCAACTCTCTATGACCTTTGCACTTTTTCAAAACAAATATCCTACAAAAGAATCCAGCAAATATCATACTCATTTTAGTTACATCAAACTAAAATCTAAGTTTATATTTTAGATCATTGGACTTGGCTTCCGAAATTACTTTGCCTTTCCTGGAAATATAATTGATTTTTTCATAACTTTGGGAACTTTCTGCCAGTTGATTGTTGCTGTTGTGCTCTTTACCGCTTATAGAAACATCTTTTCTATCGATATCATGTATGTAATTGTTGTTCTAGCTGTGCTGAGAGTCATAAGAATTTTTAGAGTAAGTTGTTTTTGGACAAGAATTTTATAATTTCTACGTTTAGGCTATATTTTTGTTATGAATAAATTAATTTAAACTTTGATGAACTACTATTCAGTCATAATTTTTAAAATGAGAATACTTTCTACCGGATAAAACTCTATTGTTATTATTCCTTATGAATTTAATTTAGAATCTGAGTTCATACAAATCAGGTAGATTCATCACAAAAAGCACAATCATAATAAATTAAAATAAAACGAAAAAAATAAGACGAATTTTCCTTCCAATGTCCACCTGGAGAATGACCTAGGTCATACAGACATCTGAAGAACAGATTTGTTGACCACTCCTTCAGGGGCACCATATCAGGCGGGCCAACGTTGCTCCCACAGTAAGAACATCCATGCCTTGCCCGGGATTCGAACCCGGAACCTTTCTGATGCAAGGGCAGTTCCCTAACCCCTACACAAGCCGCTCGGCAAATAAAAAGAATAAAGAAATAGAATAGACCAAAGGAATAGATTTAAAAAAATTCAAAGAAACAAGAAAAAGAAAAGTGAATTTCGATCATATAGAATTTATAAAGATGTCTAAGATGACGTCACTTCATTTACTTGTGCACTAGCAATCCATTATTGATTAATCAGTTACCGATAGCAAACAAATAGGAATACATACGTTACTTTGTGTTGGGAATAAGAATTGTCCAATAGGAATAACATTTTCACAATTGATTGATTTATTCCACTCGAGTGATATAGTTCAACCTTTGGCTTGGATATCTCTATACAAGTTTTGCCATTCCAATATGGTCTGCCTAATTCTCCACTCCCCTGAGACTCTTGATTCTGCCTGGGCACGTAAGATGATGCTCAATATTCACGTCACCCATTTTCATGGAAGCGCCAAAGCTCTCGCTATGGGAACCACTACTCTTTATGTTTCTCTGCATCGCCTTCATAGATTAAATTAAATTATACTAATGTATCACTAAATATAAAATATGATAATCTTATATTAATTTTTATGAGAAGGAACAATATTTATTAAGTATTCAAATTTCATAATGAAATTAGGCAGAATGAGAAAACTGTGACTTTAAAACACATTAAATAAGACTGTAATTCACATATTATTTTCAGGGGTAATTAGATCAGTGTTGGAATTTAATACCGGTACTTTTTTTAATACCACATGATCTTAATTTGGAATAATTTTGCTAACTGGGTAGTATAACTTTTTTCAAAATTTATTTATCCTGGAATAAAAAACAATTTTATTTCAAATTTACGAAGGGATGGCTCTTGCACTATCAAAAAATATCATTCTGCAGGTAGATAGTCAAACAATATTGAAATTGGCAGAAAGATATTTCCTAAACTATCAAATAGCAGAATTCTACAGATTTTTCAGGTGTAATGATGAAAGAAAATTAACGCAAGGATATCTTTAAGGCTGCCAAATAGCAGAATTCCTTTTCTAAATAGTACAGACAAACGGTTTAACTATATTAAAATTGGCGAAAGGATATCTTTTGAACTGTCAAATAGCAGAATCCCATCATATTTCACATTTCATTTCATTCTTTCATATTTCAAATTGTTTTTCCTATTGCAGGTTCTCCTTGTTGGCATATTTCAAAATATTATGGACGAAGCGTGTTCTGTTATTTACAATGCGTATGATTTAGCCATATCATTCATTGTTGCCAATGAAGAAATCTCTAAAACTGCGCAAAAAATTGTCAATTATGGACCAAGTGCTGACTCAGCTCAGTCTACGGCTGAAAACAACATACTTCAGGTAATTATCAATAGTCTGTTTAAAATAAGGTGGAAGATAGTCATAGTTTAGTATATTTTCAAAAAAAATGCTACAAAATAACAATGAAAATCTTTGAACCGTAACAAATGCTATGTCTACAATTGGTCGAATAGTTCCTGAGAAATCTAATTTTGAAAAAGTCGTATTTTTGAAGTTCGATTTCTCTTTAACTAGTCGAGCGATTTCCTGAATTTTTTTTATTTTGCCATTTGCAATAACAGTCATTAAAATGATGTTTAAAGTCGTATACCTTACAATTCAAATTTTTATTGACTATTGATAAATAAGATAATAAAAATATTTGCCTAAAGTTAGATTTTGCATGGAATCATCTTTAAATTTTTTCGATTCACTTAAAAAGTTCTCGAAATATTTTGAAATGCGCAAAAAGTAAAATTAACATTAAGGGGTCCAAACTTAAGAGTGCTCTCCTGACCAAAGTATTAAGACCCTTATTCCCCGAATTACTGACACCCCCTATATTTTGAAGTCATAAATCCGAGTCTGTCTATAAGAAGGTATGTTTAGTTAGAGAAAGTATGTTTTTATGTCTAATTTCATAACTTAAAATATCGAAAGCACTCAAAAAATAGCATATTTGAGGTTCATTTATTTACTTATTTTTTTACCACTGTACATTGTTTTGAGTACTATAAAAAGAAATTCAATTTATGTACTGGGATATAAAAGCATTTCTGACGATTTTTAGTGTGGAGAGAAAATGAGTTTGGCACATTGAGAAAACGGCCACACACATAGGTACTCATATTATAGAGCTAAAGTTCTTGTGACGTTGGTTCTCAGCACACGATTTATCGAACGAATAAACACTGCAGGTTTGGTATTCAATCCACCTTCCTTCCTGCTGTCTGTTTATCTTTACTTTCGTTCATGTTGTAGTGAGAAGGAAGGCCAGTTAATTAAATTTTCATCTGTCAGGACTTATCAAAGGACACTTACATCAGTTTTCTGTCTATACCAAGAAATCGAGCATTTTCTATACCCCCTTTTTTCGCAATAAACCAAAGATGGCTGCAAAAAAGTTAAAACAATAATAAATAGCCACATTTTTGTATTTATTATGGTATTATTGATTTCCAAGCAACTAATTTTGAAAGATGACATTTCAGGCACGCAAATTAAATGTTTATTTTTTATTTAAAAAAATGCTTTCAAATGTTTAATTGACATTTTTTATTTTATTTCTTTTAATACACCAATGACTCCTGTTAGTCTAGGGATTTTGTTCTCTTTCGTGCAAATAGGATGCTGCAATGCATGTTACAGTAAAATAGAATCTTCTTCGGAGAAGACTGACACGACTCATTATATCCAGACTGTACAGTGCTCATCTTTCCCAAACGGTGGTTTTGGACTTATTATGTAGTGTTTTGAACTCATTGTGAATTCAAACTACAGTTGCCAACAAACAAGTAAACTCTTGATTGCCAGCAAGCATGTTAACTCTTGACTGCCAGCAAGCATGTAAACTCTTGATTGCCAGTAAGCATGTTAACTCTTGACTGCCAGTAAGCAAACTCTTGATTGCCAGTAAGCATGTTAACTCTTGATTGTCAGCAAGCATGTAAAATAAGGCTTTGATTCCGAAATGACTGATGCCCCATATAACACTTCGTTTGTTGAATTACACTGTCGTCTATATCAGTGGCTCCCAAATGTTGTTCCACGGAACCCAAGGGTTCCGAGAAAGGAGTTCAGGGGTTTATGGACTGAAAACTTTATTAGAATACGTATGACAGAAATAGTGCCGACCGGCCTGTGTAGGAGTTAGGGAACTGCCCTTGCATCAGAAAGGTTCTGAGATCGAATCCCGGGCAAAGTATGGGTGTTCTTTCCTTTTCTGTACTATCTATCCTTACTGTGGGAGCAACGTTGGCCCACCTAATGTGGTGCCCCTGAGAGAGTGGCCAACAAATCTGCCCTTCATATGCCTGTGTGATGCCCAGGTGGGTCATTCTAAAAGGTGGAAATAGTGCCGACCGGCCTGTGTAGGGGTTAGGAGCTGCCCTTGCATCAGAAAGGTTCTGTGTTCGAATCCCGGGCAAAGTATGGGTGTTCTTTCCTTCTCTGTACTATCTGTGCTTACTGTGGGAGCAACGTTGGCCCACCTAGTATGGTGCCCCTGAGAGATTGGCCAACAAATCTGCCCTTCAGATGCCTGTATGATGCCCAGGTGGGTCATTCTAAAAGGTGGGCATTGGAAAAAACAAAAAAAAAGAAATAGTTCTTTGCGTACGAAAAGAAGCTGTGAAGAGAGGTGCTCTAGAATGTTACACAACTAATTTCTAAATCCGTGATTCATAGTAAACTATATTGTTCGATGGTGGCCTGTGAAGTTGGCTTTTTGGTCAATATATACGATGATCTCAAATCAGGGTTTGGCCAAAAGGAGGTTGATCATTAGGGTTCCGTAGTCAGGAACACTTGGGAACAATTGCTCTATACCTAAACTAATATCATTTTAATTTAATAACATGGATGGAGTTTATTTTAATTCGCATTTTGTTTTCCCTGGAGAGTTGAAGAAGCATGTGCAGCATATCTTCTTTTTTTCGACTGCTATGTTTCCACTTAATATGTCAATTAGAAATTGTGAGCGTATGCCCATTTTCTCTGTATACCTATCTCCCTTTGACTAGCCCTTATAAATAAATAGTTATTAAGAATGAGCCAGTCTTTTAGTTGAGAAAATAAATTTTCTTGGACTAGTAGCACAGTAATGATCAGTTTCTATGAACAGCAAAAAATGAGTCAGTGCTGAGTCACAAAAAGCAAGGGTTTTATATTTGTTTGCTTGCTTGCTCGGTTGCTTCGTTTTGTTTGTTTGCTAGCTTGTTTTTTGTTTTCTTTGTTTGTTTATATTTTACATTTTGTTTTGCAAGTTTTACTTTTCTGGTGGCTTTGTTTGTTGTGTTGCTTTTGTTAGTTTTTTTTTATCCTAGAAAGTTTCGTCTTCCGCTGTACTGGTTCAAGAAAACAAAATTAAAAATATCAAAACCAGTTTGGTTGTCAGATAAAATTAGAAAAAGATGAGAAAAATTTATTCTAAACCATCAGAAATTCCAATTTTGTCGAGCAAGCTAGTAACGATGTTTTTAATACCGCCTTCTGAAATAACGATTCGTCGGATTTGATAATGTTCTCTTATTCACTTTTACGTATTAGTTCACTACCCAAGTATTAGAATGTTTTTATTCCATTTCTTAAAATGTTTCTAAATCATATATCCCATATTTTCGTGCATTGCATTTATTTTGCATATTCCTCATGTTTCTATACAGTTTAAAACCGATTTTTCGCAAAACCTCAAAAATGCAACTTCATTTTTTTTCCTCGAACTTTCCTTAATCTAACTATAACTATTAATTCAAGCTCCCTTTGACTTTTAACTAATTAGATCCATTTAATAGAGAACAACAATTCAACCGTTAAAAAATTTAAACCAGACAATTTATTTGTCCCAAACAGCTAATTGTATTTTCTCTGCACACTTTAAAACACTAAATCAAGTTATTCAAGGGAAAAATAAAAACTTCAGAAAATGTTATTTTCAAAGGGCTTTAAAATGGAGCTTTTTTTTAACAATTTATCTCAAACAGCTTGTTATTATTGTTGCCACAAAGCAATAAAAATAATGGTTTTTATGAAGCTGGGAAATACAAATGTTTCCATAAGGAATTACATCCAGCAATTCTTGTTAGTACATTTCTTAGGATTAAAGTTGAAAAGTATTTCAGAAAAAATAATGAAATAAATGTTTGCTTCTTCCAATTTTAAAAGATCGTTATAAAATAATTGATTTTGTTAAAATATTCAGGATATGTTCTTTATGTAAAGCTATCAAAAAAGTGTTTCTGTTTACTTATTTAATATTATTTATTTATTTATAATGATATAAATGCTTGCTTCTTCCAATTTTAAAAGCTCGTTATAAAATAATTGATTTTGTTGAAATATTCAGGATAAGTTCCTTAGGCAAAACTATCAAAAAATTGTTTCTGTTTATTTATTTAATATTATTTATTTATTTATTTATTTATAATAAAATAAATGCTTGCTTCTTCCAATTTTAAAAGCTCGTTACAAAATAATTGATTTTGTTGAAATATTCAGGATATGTTCTTTAGGTAAAACTATCAAAAAAGTGTTTCTGTTCATTTATTTAATGTTATTTATTTATTTATTTATTTATTTATTTATTTATTTATTTATTTACTTATTTATTTATTTATTATGTATTTACTTATTTATTTATAGTGAAATAGATGTTTGCTACTTCCAATTTTAAAAGCTCGTTATAAAATAATTGGTTTTGTTGAAATATTCAGGATATGTTCTTTATATATAACTATTAAAAAAATAGTGCATGGAGTCCCTCCACGCGGAAGAAGTTAAACTTCACAACCTTTAATTGTAGAAAAATTAGCAGTCGTAGAAGGATCACTAGTTCTATTCAAAGACTCTTTTTCCTGCTCCGCTCGCTTCCGTGCTCTGTAATCACGGTAATATTGTGCATTTTTCCCTCGTGGACCTCTTGAACCAGTGGAAGTGCTTGTGGTTGCCTCATCGTCTCGCCCTGGAAAATGTATTTGTATTAATAATGTATGTGAATGCGTCATAATGTAATTTCAGAAGAGAAAACCTAACAATCAATTGATATTCACAAGAGACGTACCTTGACATAACCTTAAATCCGTCGCATTGTCCGTGGGATTGTTTTCACTCATTTTTTACAATTGTTATCCACTAAATTTGAAAATAAAAAATACTACCCTATTAAATTATATGTGTATCAAAACAAACTAAAAAAATATTTATAGAAAAACAATACTTTTATGACTTTTATTATTTTTATGCTAGTGAGAACCAAAACAATATGGAAATGAATGAGGGAAAACTGGATCCTACCACATGATTTCCCGGCCAATAAAAATGTAGCGTTAAACGTTTAACGCAACCTTGTTGGAAGTCGCATAAGAAGTATAACTTCAAAAAGTGTTTTTGTTCATTCATTTATTTATTTTTACGGAGAAAAAAATTTCGGGGTTCTGGAGACCGTCAGGAATTTTGACAAAAACATCTGTTTACATGTTGTAATACTTTTAGTGCAATGAGTCAATGACGGTAATGAGCATTATTTCATATTCTGATTCTTTCACACTAACTTTTAAGGAATAAATACTTTCAGTGCATCATTGCATCGTAGGTCAAAAGTCATTCAAAATCTTTGAAATCGGTCTATTTTTAGACTTTGACCATCATATTCTGCTTTTGGAATGTATGTGTGTGGTACAATGAATTACAAAAGTCTATATTTCGGTGAATACATATGAATGCGTACTTACAAAAATCACCTTTTACGGTATACATTTGGTGTGACCTTAAAATTGACCTTGTGCAAACGGAGGCAAAATATACTCTGATCTCGTAGGCAAGCGATACGATGTTTCCGGGGCAATGTTTTACGCGGAATTGAATGAAACCGCACCCTAATCAATATAGTTAATAGTTAAAAAGTTATATAAGTTTTAATTAGAAAGATCACATTCTGATTCATATGTATTTCGGCAATAGAACTCAAGCAAGTGAAGTATTGATAAAATATTTTTCTTAACAATTGATAAGAACGCATCAATTATTAACTAATAATTTAAATGTTATAAAAGATTTATGTATAATAAATACCGTTATGTACATATTATTCCTTTACCTATTTAAAACTTTTGAAACTTTTATAACAATTTTTGAGAAACCGAACTTTTAAAATACGACTTCCTTAAAATTCGATTTCTCAGAAACTATTCGACCGATTTCGCTCAGATTTTGTATTTTGCCCTTTTTGCCTTTTTGTACTTTGCCTTTTTGCCCTTACAATTCAAAAGTTTTTGGACTATTATGAAAAAAAAATAATAAAAAAAAATAAATATTCATTAAAAGTTATCTTTTGCAAGGTTCATTTATCTTTTGTATGCTTCAGTCATCATTTATCTTTGAGTAAATTAATTTTATAATTGTGTGCAAAAAATTTTCAATTCCCCTAAAAAATTCTCTAAGCGATGAAATATGCAAAAAATAAAACAAACATTAAGAAGTACAAACTATTGTGACCATATTTTCCAGATTGCGTCTATCCTCTATATTTTAAGGATCAGAAATCTAAATTCATCGGAAAATAAGGTGTGTAAGAAAGTACGTTTTTGTGTCTGATTTTGTAACTTAAAACATCGTCAGCCACTAACTAATTAATTAGCTTATTTGAGGTCGCTCCCTTGAACCTTTAAGATAGAGTCCTAGAACTTGAAGATCCTTCATTCAAATCAAAAATTATTCAGCGTGGTTCTTTTTTTGCACACTGTGTATCATAATTCCTCATGTTGGTTCATAGCAAATAAAACTTTATTTCAACAGTTGATAACTGCTGTATGTAGCCATCCGTGAATTTCCAGAAGTGTGCTAGGATTAAACCTATTGAGAGAATTTTAATGGCAGCTACAGCCATTGAATCTAATTTCTAAGGATTTTCCTTACATATAGTTGAAAAATGTACAAGAAATTATAAAAGAATTTTTATTTAATTACGGCTGCAATTATATAAGATATACTTTTTGCTACTTCTGTCTCATAAAGAAGAGCAAATAAGTATATCACTCTAAATATTACTCAAAGTAGCAGTATTTTTTTGGATCACTCAATGGTAGCAAAAGAAAAATTAAATCATTTAATTCAATACATATTAAAAGGGTATCTTTTTAAAGAGCGTTCTATCGAGTTTTCCTTCCCGTTTGAACATGTCTAAATTAAACAACGCCAAATGGCGATATTTTTTGCGTCTATGAGTGGAATTGGTGAGATTTTGATTCTAAGATCGAAGTTAAATTATTAGTCCAAAATGGAAAACATAGATTTCAATGGATGATGATTGAGAAGATAAGAAATTAAACTGATTTTTAGATCATGAATGGAGAAAAGTGATTTAATTAAATATGCTGAAATATTGTGGGTATATAAAAATTAAAGGTTTTTTTTTAAGAGTGGAAATAAAGTGAAAGTAAATTAAGTACGTCAGAATATTATGTATCACAACAGCAATCTATTTCTTATTTTAAAAAAATTCTTATGCTTTTTTTATTATTATCAAATATTTATGCATGAAACTGCTCTTTTTACAAACGCTCCATTTTAGATGTTATGCTACGTGGATGATCTGGAGAAAGAATATTTTGATGTCGTAAATGCTTGGAAAACTCATAGAGCAACAGTATATGTCTTGCGAGATATGAAAAACATCATAGAAGAAATGAGAAGCATTTATATTTTAGACGACAGCCATGCACAGCTTCTTGAAAAAGTAATTTCTTCAAAAAATTCTTTTTAGTATAATTTTTTGTGTAAAAAAAAAACTTGTTCAAAACAAAATATATTTTTGTGTTTTAATAGATTTTAGATTTAAAAATTAAAGATACACTCTGTGCGCCCCGATATTTACCAGGAAAGGGAGGACTGAACCACATTTTAAAGAATGTTCACTGGATAATGGATGACGCTATGTTGAAAGAGATTTTAGTAAGTAAAATATCTTTTTTGCTTTCATTTCAATTATCAAACGAATTTGAGTGAAACTGTGCTGATTCGAAGCCATCATATTTTAAACACCAAGTACATTAGATTGCTATGAAATATTCTTAGAACACTTGGTTCAAAATTGAACCATAATATCACCCAAAATTATTGATGATATCTTAATAATGTGTTAAACTGAACTGTGTTTCCTCTAAAATTGAACCATGGCATCGTAATCCAGTTTAATTTGTTTGATAATAGGGTTCAACTTGATATCGTAAGATTGCAAAAGATTTGCAAGCTGTTGTCAATTTTAAGCAGTGTGTCAAACAAATTTTATACAAATTGGCCAATTCTTTGGATTTCTTGTTTGGGCAAATTCATTCTTCTTTTCCGTCACGTAAAGAGATAACTGCTTTTTGAGTATGAGAATTTGTTCCATTTGTTGACGTTGCACTACACTCAAAAAAATCTGCTCATCGTTGATCCTTAGTTTCGGCACTTTGAACCATATTATCGTGAATTACCTCTTAATGTGCTAACTTTTACCATTTTTCTTAGTTGAATCTTGGTATTTTAAAATTAAGAGTAAAAGGATTAACATGCGCTATGGATGATTTTATTTTATAACCGTCGTTGAACAGCCGACCCAATTTATGGGTTTACGACTACTAATGCTCAACTCCGTAACCTTGTAGTTTTAAACCCAATCCAGAAGACAAGGGAACTCCTGGATCAAGTATTGGGAGAAATTTGCCTTCGTGGAGGACTTTTTGATGGGACTAACCCCATTTGCGTTGCATGGAGAGGAAGACCACGAGAACTCCCCACGGTTATCCTGACGGCAAGGGGACTTCAACCCATGATCCGTCTGCCACTGAGGATATTTCAAACCAGCATTGTGGTCAGTGCAAGCCGGATGCGAAATTCGTATCGACCAGCCATCGCAGCTCGCTATGGATGATTGTCTGTGTAAAGCTAAGTGCAGATGACGCTAGGGATTAAAATTTGACGTAAAATTTTCGGTATGTTTTTACCGACTGAATTTTACGCCTAAACTTAGAAAAACGCACCATCCAAAACTATTACACTAGCAGTGTGTTCAATATAACGCGTTCTTTCAATCGAACTTTCAGTGAAACAAACAAGAAATAAATTCGGAACACTCCGCAAGCTTGCTATGATGCTATCCAAAAAATAACTATTGCTATTTTACACAAATGTAGCCAAATCAGGGATAACACTCAAAACATAACTAACCTTACACTTTTTTCACGCTGCGATATTAATTTTTTATTTCATTTCCAATGGCGGTAATTAACAAACTCTTAACAAGAAGAATCTATGCAAATGAAATAGGTAAGAGAAAAAAGTCAATGACTCATTAGCAAATGCCTAGCATTCCAATATCTTTTCACTTCGGAGTCTCCGTGTGCAGCCGAACATCCCATCAAGTGCTTCCTATCCATTACTTCGAATTTCCTAGAGAGTGGGCAATTCGGACTCGTAAAAATACCAATGCGATGGAGGTGATGCGCAAGGCAGTCATGACCCACCGCAAATCTAAATTCTGCCACAGCCTTTTCACGGGGTCTGTCTGAAATGCCCCGGTCTAAAATGTTCTCCCAACTTTTCAGAAAATTGAAGAACACTAAGCCTACATGGAACACTACACGAATGATCACGATTAGAGTGATGCTGCATGCCGAAATTAGTACATATTTTAGCCGTCAAAGACGTTACCAGGGTGCACCACGGGGAGGTATATCTACTATCACACCCCTTGATATTAATTTTGTTAAGTTTGTTTTAAGGTCACGACCTGTTAGAATTTATTAATTACAAAAAACGCTTACGCGTAAATTTAAACACAAATCACAATAATAAAACTTCCTAGAATATTAAGTCTGTTCACGCATCACCTCGTAAGCATAACATAAGCGGAGAGATACACCGGAAATTTTCTAAATTTCTTCTGGTTTTAGAAAACTTGCTATTGTTTACATTAAGTCAACCATCCATAATATGGTTTAATTTTAATTCATAATTAGTATCGGATTATAATAAATCATCCTATATTATCATATTCAATTTTCAAGCTATAACGTTTTATTAGACAACGAGACTTATTATGCCTAGTTAGAAGACGGAAGATAATAAGTTTGATTCGAAGTTATCCTTAGCTTCTCAAAATTATAAATAAGTACTATGTTGGAACTGAAATTATTAGTTACGGTTTAGCAAATGGTGGTAATGCTTGGATTAGATGGAAAATGAAAGTTGATTTAAATTAAAGCATTACCACAACAGCCCGTTTCGGAGATAGGGATATTCGGAGATTGGGTTTAAGTTCCATAATTCCGTGACCAACGGCTAGATGATGGCAAAGTTGTCATTATGTCTGTGACAAGCTAAAATTAGGCTCGCTCATCCAACACCGAAGCTACTATCAAAATTGCTCAGTGACTTAACCACTCTACCACGATTCAAACGTTGTTATGCTAGTTAAAAGAAATTTGCAACTCAATTAAAAATTAAGATTATTGAGTTGGTTAGAAAAATGATGATTACTTTTCTTAAAGAAGGAAAAAATATAGTATTGTGAGTTTTTTAAGCTGCATTTAGTCTTTTAATCAATCTTGTGTTTTTAAATCCACATTGTTTAATTTAATTTTATTAATTTCACCTTCTTAATTATGTGGCTGTTAGTTTGTGTCGACAAATGGTTGAAATTTCAATCATCTATATAAATTTTATTAGTACCGTTTAGGAAACAATCGTAACTTGTATTTGTGTGAATGTGACACAGAGCGTCCGTTGGAAGTTGAACACTTTAGGTAGTCGGAAATAGGTCAAAATTTTGATTGAATAAAAATTCTATCTTTAGATAGAAATTTTCTGGAAGTATTCATAAAATGATTTAAAGGTGTATTGTCTTTGAGAGTAGAGCTCCAGTTAAAATTTAGGACTTTACTATTCAGGAAGTGTTCGAAATTCGGATTGATAATTAATTCTGAGTAAAGCAGTTAAAAAAATATTAAAACTTGTCTTGCCATCAGACACGTAGCAACAATGTAGATTTAAGCACTTTAGTAAGTCTGAAAATGCTCTGTAACTTGATCATCAATTCTACCAAAAGTGATCAAAAACGATTAAAACTTGCATTTTTTATTAAACACAGAGCTACAAGAAATATTTGAGAAATCAAGCACGTCGAAATTTTGATTGATAAAATCTTGACGATAAAATCTAGCTAACAGAATGAACGATAATTTTCTCCTGAATTGTTCACAAAAAAATTAATATTGTATTATCATTAGACGCAGAGTTCCAAGTAAAAATTAAACACTCTAACCAGTAAGGAAGTGGCAGAATTCTGGATATAAATCCTGTTTGTAGTAGTTAGAAAACTAATGAAACTTGAATTATCAGCAGTCACACATATCAAAATCAATTAAAATTTGACCCTATTAGCTGATCAGAAAACGATTAAAATTTAAAAAGACGATGATTCCTTTATGGCGATAAATTCTGCTAACAGTGGTCAGGAAATAATTAAAATCAGCATTGTCATCAAGCTCAGAGGTGCAGTTAAAATTTATGTTTATTTGGTTATCGGAAAAGCTTTCGGAATTTAATTCTTTAATTCCTTTTGTCGATAATAATGCAGCATGTTCTGGTTCTATTGGTTGTCCGATAGAAACTTGTATTGTCGCCTAGCAAATAGCTTCATTTAAAATTGGAGTGCTCTAGTTAACCTGAAAGTTGTCAGAAATTTGATGGACGATAATGTTTCAGTTGAAAATTTGATTCGATGATAAAATGATGATAAATTTTGCATGTGTCTATTTGAAATTGATTAAAACTTGCATTGCCATCAAACACGGAACTACAGTTTTGAAATTTAAAAAAAAATTGACTTGGTTCTGGAAAATGTTCAAATTTTCAATAGCAAGATTCCACCGTCATAAACATGAAAGTGAGTAAACAGAAACATGGAAATAATTATGAATATATATCAATAATTACAGTGAATAAAAACTTCTAATCATCTAGAAAAGAGAATTAAAAGATTTCTTTTATTACAGAATAATTACAGTGTAAGTTCTTATGTGACAGGAGAAACAATCCAAACCGCTGGAAATAAGCACAAGGACGTAAATCTGATATCAGCTGGTATTGTTCAGGTATTTAAAATTTAAATTTACGAATTACAATTATCTTTCTAATTTCAAAAAATATGAATTCAGTAATACCCAACTACGTACACAAAATGAAAAAAATAGTGTATAATAAATTTTTATCACTTTAATTTTGAAAAGGCATTGTGCTTTGACTCTAAATCTAAATACATATATTTTTAATATATATAGAAAAGAAATAATTTTTCAATATATAGTAGACAGAACTGCCATGGTTCTAAGGTCTCACAAATTACTTTTGAGGCATATATATATGAATCCATATAATTATAAATATATAAAATATACGATGATTTTGGAAAAATATTTTTAAATAATTTTGCTATTTTAAAGCAAATAACTATTTTTAAAAAAAATTCGAAAATACTAATTCCGCTATGAATAAGGTAGAATCTAGTTAAAATTGAAAACTTTGTTTCTGTGCAGAAATTATACGTATATTGACGTATTATACGCATATTTTCAGATTATTATTACGTATCATTACGTATATAATTACGTATATTTCTATGCGCCTACGCTGAAAGATTCTAAATCGGCTTGTTTGTTTGCTTTTTGAATTTGAGCCGCTAGTTTCCGCTGTCAGAAGATCTGAGTTTCTATGATCTAGATCTCATACATTCGACTTTATTGTGTCGTTCAAATGAAACCACCAGTGTGCATCGTTGAGCTTTTAGTATCAGGTATTTTGTTCAAAATAACTAATTATGTAGTGATTGTTTTTGTTTGATTTCTTTATATATTTAAAACGTCTGTTTTTAGTTTACATTTATAGTTTAAAGCAATTACATCATGTTAGGTTCCCCTTATCAACAAACAGCTAAAAACAAAGATTAATCTATCAAAATTTACTGATCATTTGTTTCCTTTTATTTACTCGAACCTTGATGAAAATAAATTGTACCTTTTTCAGGCTCTTTAAAAAGCTTTTTGATAAAAACGAAAACTTTTCGAATCAAAGTAATCTATCGAACACTGTAAAAGAGACAAACCTTTTACTTCTTTTAATTTATTTGAGCTCTTTTCGTTGCAAACAGATTTTAACCAAAACTTAACATTTTGCTTAGCAAAAAAAAAAATAAGTAGATAAAAATAATGAAGAAAATACCTATTTTTAATAATAAAATGTAAAATAATTTTTCAACCTTTTTTAAGTGTTTTTCTGTATTTCTTTATTTTTAAGAAATAAAACTCGCATAGAAGAGATGACAGATACGAATGCTTTTTTTTCTAGCAAAATTGGCTAATAACTAAAATCATCTTGATCAAAATCCATTTTTTAAATGTCCAATAAAAGTTTTGCTTTGAATTCCTGTTCTGCTATTTTGGTTTATTTATCTGCTTCTTTTTCTGCAGTACTCCTTTTTTCCAAAAAATAAAAAAAGATAAACATTTTGTACTAGAAGCGCTTGGCTTATAATGAATTAAATCGAAGTATTTAGATACGAAGATTTTACCATAGCAAATTTAAAATAAATTTTTCACAGAAAATGTAAATTTATATAGAGGAATAATTTCCGTAATTTTATTAGTAACTGAGATTGGCAATTATTGAAAAAAATCAAACAAAGCATCTTTTTTTCCTAAAAAGTAGAATTTTGTTTATTATGGCTCGCATAATTCAGAACATAATTATTTCAATAATTTAGTAGCAACCATGTCTACCCAAAGCATGGGGTTCAAATAAAATGCTTTGGTTGATTGGCAATTACAGCAACTTTTAAAAAAAATTTAAATAAACTATTAAATACTTCTTATTGTTGACTCTTAATAGCTAGAGACTATGATTTTGTGATTATGATATCTAAACAAATAATGATTTAAATCCTTTGATTTTTAGAAAACAACCATTGATTTGAATCAACTGCGAATTTTTGAAAAAATTATTTATTTATACCAAATTTTTTTAATAAGCCATTACACTGTTACATTATAATTTTCCATTAGCTGTATATAAAATGATTTGCAGGTTATGAACATATTTTCATTACAACAAATTTCAATTTGCTAATTTCAATTAACAAATTCAAATGTGTCTATTTGAATACTTTAAGTGCTTTTAAAATCTATCAAATATGTAGTTAGTGTTTACTAATATTGAAGAAAGACTTGCTCTGCCCAAAGAAATTGACAATCACTTTTTTTTCTTTTATCTATACTGATCTAAAATAATTTACACTTCATTTAATATCTAACTGATTAGTTACCTCCCTTGTCTTTATAATTTTATGATGTTTAGTTTGAACAAAGTAACCGTGATTTTTATTCAGTGATTAGTTTGTAACATTTAAATAATAATTTTTACAACATTTAAGTTAAAAATATCAAATATTTTAATTGTTGTTTTTAAATAATATTAAGTACTGTTAATATATTTTATCAGGTAATCTGACTGTTAAGCATAAAAAAAAATTTGAAAAAACTGATTTAAATCAAAATAATCTGGTCTAAAACAAATCCAATTTTTTTTTAATTGTGAATTTTGCCAACTTAGCTCAAATGCATTTGAGTTTTTGTTTCGAGATTATGATTCGGGATTATGATTCGATGATTAAGTCTTATTTCGGGATAATAAAAGCTGTCTTTAAAACAATCAAAACAAGGAACAGTAAGACCTTCCTGATAACATTTACTCGAATTCAAATGTCTCTATTTGAAAATTCTCTCACTCCTCATATTAAATTGATACTGCTTCAAACCACGCACCTCAATTACCCTTTTACTGTTGAAGAACTAGAGTAGAAGAATAAAATAAAGAATACTGGAAAAGAAGAAAGTTCCAGGAGCCATTTTTGAATCAATTTTATAAACGTCGTTGAACAGCAGATCCAATTATGAGTTTACGACAACCAATGTTCAACTTCATATCCTTATAATTTTGAACTTTATCCAGAAGATTAGTGATCAAGTATTGTGAGAAATTTGCTTTCGTGCAGGACTTTTTGCGGGAGCTGAGCTGTATTTGCGTTACATGGAGAAGAAAACCACGAAAACCTCCCTCGGTTATCCTGATGGCAAGGGAACTCTAACCCATAATCCGTCGAAAACTAAACTAAACTGAACTTGCCCTTGAGGGCCAAGGCCTACTGTGCCCATCTTAGTTTTCTTGACATTGGGCTCTGGGGTGCAGGAGTAGATGTTCTGGTCAGGTGGTCAGCCGAACGCGGAACCCCAGTGTTTAGTTCTCAAGCATGCTTGGTACTCATTTATCGACCCACTGAAGGGATGTGTCAACCTTGCCCGGCCCGAGGATCGAATCAGAGACCTGTGGCACGACAGCGCGAAGCGCTACCGCTCTGCCACCGGGCGTCATAATCCGTCGAAAAGTGAGCATATTTCACGTCAGCACTGTGGTCGGTGTGGAATTTTTATCGCCCAGCCGTCTCTGGGATTCGAATTCGGGGCATCTCATATGGAAGCGAGATCTCTTTCCCTTGAGCCACCAAGTTTCTTTTTGAATAAATTAAAATTTCTCAAAGAAAAATCGTATTTTTATCTCATAACATCATTCATTCATCTCTATACAGCATTAGTTCATTTTGCAGTAGCAGTAGCTCAGGGGATAAAGCGTTCGCTTCTCAATGAGGTGACCTATGTTCAAATCTCAGCGGTGGCTGATTTATGCAACTGCTATCGGCTCGCATTGATATCAGTGCTGACATAAAATATTCTATATGGTAGATGGATCGTCGGTAGAATCACTTAGCAGTCGGTCTAACTGTGGGGGGGCAGTTAAAGTAAATGCGAATTGGTTCCATAAAAAGTCCTTCGCGAAGGCCAGTCTGTCCCAGATCTTGATACAGGAGTTCCCTCGTCTTCTGGGGTGGTATCAAAATTACAAGGTTACGGAAATGAACATTTGTAGTCGTTAACTCAGTATCTGGTCAGTTGCTTAACACCGGTTGTAAAACAAAATAAATAGTTCATGTTGTTAAGTTTTTTTAGATCTCACTAAATAATAATCTCGGAGTGATTTCGTTGTAGAAGAAAGATCAAAGTGTATTTGGAAAAAAAACAGTTGACGAATGCCCTTAGCCACTTTTTTAACAACAGGAACGTCAAGAATAGTTACGGGAGCTGTTATTCGAACATTTTAATACATTTATGGAATTCACCAATCGGAAGCTTGCGGTAAAGAAATAAAGGCAACGCATTATCTATAAAGTTTATACGCTTGCAATAGAGAAATGAGACTCATTTTCAGATCTCTGCCACATAAAAATTTCACCGTCGCAACTCTTGATTTGCTCTTAATTTATTATCTGAATGTTGCAATATTTTATACTAAATGACTCAAAATCATATCTCATAGGTGACTGGACAAAATGAAGGTGAGAAAGGTCCAAGTCTACCAAATACAGATTCTTTATATTATTTCCTGAAAACAGGAACGTTTTGCTCTTACCTTATCCCTCCAGACTCCTTGGGAATTTTAGGATATTTGCTAAGAAAAGATTCTGTTACTACAGCTACTTGCATGAAAGACGCTCAAGTAATGAATTTAATGCTCAACTTTAACTTATCGGTATAGCTTTATTTAATATTTTTTTGAAAAATGAAAAAAGGTCTTTTATGCTAAAAAAAATTTACATTTTAGAGAAAACAATTGAAATTAAATGAAATATATTGCATTTCCATTTTGTATTAGCTTTTTTTGATAAACTAACATTATCGCAATCATTTCTATAATATCTCGAAACTACATAATATTGCGATTTGCGTTAATAATTTTATTAGCAATAAATTTTTATTTTTTGCCACCGGGGTTTCAAAATTAATCTGTTCACTTTTTAAAAACAAAAAAAGAAAAATGACATATTTCGAAACTACATAATTATTTTTAAAATAATAAAATTATAATATAATTTTATAACATAATATAATAATATAATTTTTTTAAATTATTGTTTTATAACAGTTTTAACTTTTACTGTTAATAGCCACTGTTTCATATGAACATTAAAAATCAAAAACCTGGAATATACTAAAAATAACTAAATTCTCTACACCCTCTTTTATTTTGAATGCATCTATACCCTTTATACTACTATAACTAACAAAAGATTGAAATAACGAAAAGATTCCCTAGGAAATAGGATTTTCATTCTCTCCCAAGGACTCTGATTCCTATTAAGAAGAGCAATATTTTAATTGTAGTTCATTTACGTCGCACTAGAGTTGCACAATGGGCTATTGGCGACGGTCTGGGAAACATCCCTGATGATGATCCGAAGACATGCCATCACAATTTTGATCCTCTGCAGAGGGGATGACACCCCCGCTTCAGTAGTCAGACGACCTGCACGCGAAGTCGAGCACTTTACGGTAGAACAGTTTAACGAGGACCAATACCGCACACCCTCGGTCCCTACGCAGACTGATCCAAGTGGCCACCCATCCACACACTGACCACAGCCAGTGATGCTTGACTTCGGTGATCTGCTGGAAAAGTGTCTTGACGATCAATCAAAGATCAGAAGAGCAATATAATTCCTTACATTTTGACAATAAATTATTTTCGATCTCTAATTCAGGAAATTTTAAGTTTTTTGCTAAGAANTTCCAGTGATGCTTGACTTCGGTGATCTGCTGGAAAAGTGTCTTGGCGATCAATCAGAGATCAGAAGAGCAATATAATTCCTTACATTTTGACAATAAATTATTTTCGATCTCTAATTCAGGAAATTTTAAGTTTTTTGCTAAGAATTTTTGCGTATTGTAAGAATTTGTGATTTAATTTTTTTGTAGTCCATAGAACATATACAAAATTCCCATCTAGATTCTTAAGACAATCTGAAAAATATATTGAAATAATTAAAACATTTTTCAGTTTTAAGCATTTGAGATATATTAAAATCAATATTCATAATAATTAGATAAAATAAGATAAAATAATTCATAGTTTGCAATAGTTTCAATAATAAGATAAAATAATTCATAGTTTGCACACATTTCTTTAAAAAAGCGACTTCTCCTAAGAAACTTTAGGTTTTAAAAATCCTTAAAAAAAGACCTACGATTACATTGCCAATGTTATGCTATGAAATAACATTCTTTTCCTTTTCTTTAACAACGTTTAATTGCTCAAGTGTCTCAGAATCCAAAACTTACGTAGATTTGCTACTCACTCTTTTGGAAACTTAAAAAATCTATTTTCTTTAAGGCTTTTGTCTTATGCAAATCCATATTCACGACTTAATTTTTTTCAGTTGGCCAATATTAGTTACGAAACTTTGCAAAAAATGGAGGAATTATATGGGGATCTCTCTTTTGCTATGTGGAAACCAACTGCTCTTGAAATTGCTCACATTGTGTTATCACAAGAAGAAACTTATACCGTAAGTTATCTCCTTCTTAACTTTTAAACTTACATTTTGGTGAATTTATATTCAAGTTTTCAACTTTGTACTCTTATTTCATAAATTAAACAGGCAATGCGTAATACTTACTAAACAAAGTGGTTGGTTGATGTGATGAAATGTTTGATTTTTTATCTTAGTAGCAAACTATTTTTATTTGTTTATATACATATACAATATACATATTCAATNTTTTTTAGACTTATATATATATATATATAATAGATAGATAGATACAGACAGATAGACCACGTTTAAAGAAGTTATATACGACAGGGGGTCGCATGAATGCTTACAACTTCCAGCGGCGTATGACACTTTCGGGCATAAGATCCTAAGAACATTTAATCCTGATGATGGACACAAAAAGTTTGTCAAAACATTTATGCGAGCTCCAGTTAGACATGATGTTTTTAAGCTTGTACATTTCGAAAGAAAATAGACTAAAAATGACATTTAAAAAACAAAACTGTAGCTTGGTGATAGAAGCCGATTGCAGACTTGTAGTCAGCGATTTAAAAATATCTAAGATCTGTTTTAAAAAAATCCCATACAAGAAAAAACAAAACAAAACATTTTCCCTAGTGTAAATAGCTATAAAAATTACAATAAACTTCATAATTGGTTGGCCAAAATAAAAAGTCATATTTTTCTAAAAGTGTCATTTTAAACATCCTTATTGCATATATGAAAACCACGTGGTTTTCATATGAAAACACTCTTTTGAACAATTTAAAAATATCGCTAATAATCATATCATATTATTCCCAAGCCTTTCTATTGCAAATTTCTTACTTTAATTATTTACATATTATTTTCTCATAATTACTTAATATAAAACTATCCAACTATAATAATGTACGTCAGCGTTTTTAAAAATAATTCAGCAATTCCTAATAAATAAAAACCAATTTTTCCATAAAAGATTACAGATGTTTGTAATCTTTTATGGAAAAATTTCAAAGAATTGAATGCATATTTCAAATAATATCCCGAATGAATAATTCATTTAAAACTTATTTTGTAAAAAAGTATCAAGAAGTATTCAATCATTTTTAAAAGTTTCAATATTTACAGTTAAAGTGATTTTTCACGTTTTTTTTCCCTCCCACTAATAACACTGCGTCCCAAAATAACTTAAAACGGTTGACAAATTTAAAGCAATAAATCATGTGGTTTTAGAAACTTGACAAAATTGCGTTGGCAGGACAATCCGTTAAACCCTTAATATAAATATGACTTTAATTTTTTACGAGAACAATGTGACAGTCTAAGTGATAGACTCAAAGTTAATTAACCCATACAAATAAAAATGGTTCGAAAATAATTTATTACTTGTATGGTTATTCAACCATACGAGATCAATAAAGCTTCACTAAATTTTGAAAGCTGAATAATGAAACGAATTGGAGTTTAATATTTTAAAGCTTTTTAACTATTTGACACAGCATTTTCATCAAACATATTTTCATACTTTATTATTCTGTGTTAGTTTAGGTCAAAATAAATTAAAAATATTATATTTCGCATTTTAATAATTAGTGGTTATGAAATACAGGGGGAAAAAATCGGTGCTTTTTTTCCTGCTTTGAAAGTGAAATCTTAGACATACGGCTCCAAACAATAATTTTTCAAATTTGTAGTTTTTTGCAGTTATTTAGATCTAAGGGAAACAGTTATTCATCATTGAAATTTCTTTAATTTATAAAATAAATTATTGATAAATTTTTGAAAATGAATAAAAAAATAATTATTCGAAATATTTTATTGTTTGGATTTATATTTTAATATAAAAATACAAATATAATTCCGATAATCTAACACATTCCTTAGAAACTATTAGACTGATTTTTTTTATAATTAAAAAATGCCAAAATATATTTTTGATTGTAATTAGAGCATCAAAATATATATATATATATATATATATTTTTTACTAAACACAATAAATGGTCTGCAATATTTTCNATATATATATATATGTATGTAAAAGGAACACCGATCTGCGTCAACGCGTAAAAGCTGAAAAACTTAAAAATATAAAAAAATTGGGTAGTAGATATGGTTTTCGTAAGTTCTGCATCAAGTGAAATCAAATAGCCAGTAACTTTTCAAATATTCAAAAATTGCATTGCAAATGCTAATAATTTTCAACAAAAAAAATTACTTTTCTTCATGATGAAATTGTGTGCCATTTTCAGAACTAGGGTCTACTTAATCTGTTATTAATATGTTACGAACACGCGCGAGGTATGTGTATGGTAAAATGGCATATTATTCGCTAAAAGGTTCTAATTCATGCGAGGAAATAGCCTGCAAAAAAACGTTCCAAACGAAAGTTTAAAAAAAATTAAATAAGCCAAATTTTCTTATAAATTTATAAACTAACAAAATAAAACTGAAGCTTTTTTTTAAAAAAAAAAAGAGTTATTGATAAAATTTAAATAAAATTCACTTTTTTAACGAACTCAACATTTGCTGGAATTTTATGCATTCTCAAATTGACGCACTATTTGACTCATATTTTGGAACTATTTTTGAAAGAAATTAATAGTCCTCGCCTCGAGATATTCAGAAACAATTTTATGGACTAAAGATCCAGAACATAAATCTACAATTTAGAATTAATTTGAAACTAATTTAAAATCTGAAATTTATAAGCATCAGTTGCTTCTTTTTTCTTAGTTATTTCAATGAATTGAAATTCATGAGAGCGCTGTTTTATTTCCACCTGTCGCTTAATATGAATGTGCTTCACCTTTCTAAGTTTTAAATTAATTATTTATCAGATTTTAAAAATGCTTTCAGCTTCTTATTTATACATTTATTTCAGAAATCGTATGATGTGGGACCAATTTAATTTATTCTACGACAAAAACTCTAAAATATGCATTGCCTGAGGACTTAACTCTATATATGATTTAATATTGCTTATTTCATTTAACTTTTTTGAAAAGTTAACTTTTTAAAAATCTCTTTGCGTAGTTTTTGCACATAATTGTTATTGAAATTTCTTTTCTGTTAAATGAGCATTTTAGTTCCTTGAAACTTTTTCACCTAATCTAGAATATTTTTGAATAATATGTTTTAAACAGGGTTTTGTTACAAATACTTGGCTATGTACAGCCCGATAAATCCGAATACATCGGAAAAAAAAGGTATACTAATTCAAACAGAGTATGCTTTTGTGTCTGATATTGTAAATTAAAATAACGTCTGCAATAATTAATTTACATACTTGATTTCACCCCTTCGAACCTTTAAGATAGAATCCTCGAACGTGAAAATCCGATCATTAAATCAAAAGTTATTCATGGTAGTACGATTTTTATTTTGCAAGCTGTACTTCAATGTTCGAATTAATTTATCTTCAAAATTAACTCTTTATCTAGTGATCGGATTTTCATATTTATTACGTCAGAATACGGATCCTAAAATAAATTAGTAGAATGAGAAAAAAATTAGTACATTTTTCAAATTGTTATCTTGGGGGTTTAAAAATATTCCGTTCTACCTTTCAGTATTGGACTGACGAAAAGATTAAGATTCGTTTAGACGAAGGACTGTTCCCAGACATGGAAAACGTTGAAAGTTTTGAAGTCCATCCAGTAATAGCGGATATGGTATTAGTTCAAGGAAAAATAATGGATACCACAACAGATGTTATTTACACTGGACCAGTATATATTCCAAGTGACGTCAGATTACTGTCACTGCTAGTGAGTATCATTCATTCTGTTTGATACTTTTTAGTCAAGTATATGTTTGTCAAGATTTCAAATACTTCTAAGCAAAAGATAGTCGTATTTCTCATTTCTCATAGTTATTCGATAGGACTCATTTATTTTCGCCCGACTCTATTTTTGGCAAGCGTGTTTGCTAAGCTTTTTCAAACTTAGGGACGTTAAAGGATTTCGAACTTTTAAGATTTGTGATATACTAAAGAAGATCAAAATACATTTTATTGTAAGAGCAGCACCCTTTCAGTAATATATATATATATATATGCGTTACTAAACTCATTCATCCTTCTCCTTCANAATCAAGAAAAGATCGGATATTGGCCAGCCAATTTACAGCGTTCTTAGCCATTTCGCGATTTGGCCGCCAATTCGCGAAGTGGCCAAATTCGGACTTTGGCCATAACATATATATATATATATGTAACAAAATAGAAGTAGAAATACAATAAAACATTATGATATGAATGTAAAGGTTCTCTTCAGGACGCATTCCTTTACAAGAAATACATTTCAAAATAAAGAATAATTATCCCAAGATAAAAATAATCATTTATAATGCTTCTAAGATTCTAAAAAATTAAAATATTGTAATTGTAAATGAGCTTAACAGGAAAGAAGAAAAGCAGAAAAAAAGCCTACCAATATGAAGTAAAATGGAACAAAAATGTGTTAAAAATTAGATATACTAATCCAACAGTTAACAAATTGCTTAAAAGAAAAAATATAATGAATATACTTCCAGCTTTATCTTCTAAAATAATTGGTAACAAATGTGTAAACAAATTACATTTCAGCGCTGTCATCTATAAAAAAGCTCTTTAATAATAATAATAATTGAAAAATTTAAGCAACAGAACCCATAAAATAAATTAATGAAAATAAAGTATTTAATTTGTAAAACCATTTAAAAAAAAAATTGCGGTTGAAAATTCTTGGAGAGCTTAATATACAAACGTAGGAATAAACCCTTTTATTGGTTTTCTTTCGACCATAAAATGACTGTTTATGAGACAGAGCCTATATATATCTATATATAAGCCAAATCATGAAAATATGTTAATAATTACAATTTTTGGTACAGTCAGACAGAGAGGGTAATGTATGGTAATGTTATTCGAGAAATAACTTATTTGTCTTCCTACTCTGTATTTTTAACAAACGAGTTTGCAAAGCTTCTTCAAGTGAATAGATTTAAACTTATAAGGTTTTAATATTCTAGAAAAGATCTAAACCCATTTCGCTTTAAGGAGAACAGTTATAGAAAATTCTTTTGAAATTACTTAATATTATTAACCGCTTGGTTTACACAGATTGTGAACGACTGAGTTTAATATTTTTCTTATCTTATAGCCTAATATATAGTTGAAATTAATAAGATCTAAAGTAATTGCATGGGAAACGAAACCCCCAAATGAGAAATATCGTTGTCAGACCGTTATCTAAGAGTCAGAGCCTTGGACTTTGACACAAAACAATAAAAAGAGGAGAAGGATGTCATCCGAGAGAGGATTAGAGAAGATTACCACTGAGAGAGATGGTTATTTTTGAACCAGTCAGAGAAAATAATGTTTGGCAGAAGTAATTCAATAATAAAATTTCAAAACTGTGTAAGGAAAAATATATAATAAACTATGTATAACAAAAGATAATCAAACTGACAAAAAAAATGGAGAAAAAGAATAACAACCTATGTGAAAAAAAGATCTTTGATCCTCGTTAGCGAAAACAGACCAGAAAAATGATTGATTGACAAGGTCTTAAAAGTAAGAAATTCGGAAACTAAACCTCGCATCAACTTTTTTGGAGTCGAATAATTCAGGAATCCATGGTCTAATATGAACTGTGCCGGAAAGTAAATAGTTGTGAGAATCTTGTTATCTTAGCAATTTAGAGTTATGAGAATCTTGAAAAGAACTATGAACACACAGGTTTGCCTATTAACAGAATTCTAGAATAAGAAAAACTCTTACAAATTATGATTAATCATTGTTAAGGTAAAGAAAAATAAATCCGATACAACATACAACCCTTTTTCATCATTTGTTTAATTTTCAGATCTGATTTTAATTGGAGGTTTGTTTTTTCCCTCTTTCACTTATTTTGAACAGTTAGTGATTGATCAGAATTTGTAAATTTTTTTTCTCTTTTTAAATAATATATTTAAAAAAGAATTCGGAAAATAAATATTGCGGGAGTTAGTAATGGAACACCCGGTACATTGAAAATAAGCTATTTGAAAGAAATATTTATCTTGGTTTGTGAATAGCTGCTTCAGACATGAATCATAAATATACGCCACTTATGAAATCCTACAATAATCCTACTGTATATAAAATCCTACTGTATATATATAGGATTTGCGACTATATAGATAAGAAACGGGATTTCTAACCGTGACCTCCGAGAAGCTACCACTGTGGTAATTTTGACATTGGTACTGTTGTCGATGCGAGCCGGAAGCGGTAATCCAAAGATCAATATTCCGAGCTTAGTATTCCAAGCAACAAGGAATCTGTAAATAAACTTTATCGGCATATAAATGTCATCATTTATTAAAATAAATAGATAAATAAAAATTCTAGAGTAAATGTCTCTAAAAAGAGCAGTTAATGCCAAAATTAAAGAATTCACTTCTGGGAGAAAGTGGCCTACTATGTAATAACAATGGAGACTTGAAAATTCGTTTAAAAAATATGCAGATTATAAATATTACTTTCAAAAATATTTTATACTCATGTCCAACTTTAAAATTATATATATTTTGCTTCTGAGTTTGAAACTATTTTGTTTGGAGTAAAAAAGGGCCTATATTTAAATGTACGATAATTTTTTTTAATAGATAAATATTTCTTTAAGTTCATTTTTAAGATGTAATCATGAACTATAATGCTTAAGAACAAACCACTCTGACGCCATCACAATTATATTCTAAACGTTTCTCTTAGCCCAGCAGGCCCTTGTGACCTCCATCTTAAAGAACATACATTTGATTTTGCACAGTAAATTTGACACTATTCGATTCATAATTTAATGTATCTACCATTTTTTTTGTACGATTACATTTGTAGTATGAATAAATATCAAATCTTTGTGAGTTACAGCTTTAAAATTATGTTTTTCTACTTCATTTCAATGAAAATTAATGAATTAAGGTTGTATTGCATGAATTTATGATAATGTTTTGAAATATTTTCCCATTCTGTATTTGTAAAGAAACGTGAAATTTTCTAATCAATTACAAATATTATATTTAGTTCTATTAGTCGTAAAAACTGCTTCTGACATATTTTTTTTTACTCCTGTTATTTTATGTCTTATGAAATTTACCGTAAACATAGAAAATAATCTATATAATTACCTTAGCTTACTCGTATTTATTCATTTATTAGTTGAAAAGGATCAATGGTGAATGTCATTTATACAAATATGTATTTAAATCATTATTGTATTTCATTCAGTGTTCAAGGAAAATAGTTAGAAATAAAAAATTTTAAAATAAATCCTAATTTACCTTTTAAAATGTACTAACCGTTTGGGCGAGTGTTGCTATTTAATAGCGCATTGAGAAAAACTACTTGTCTTTTTATGAGATCTAACATTAAGGTGGAAAAATTACTTTTCTCTCAGATTAGGGCCTTGCATTTGTTTTTAATTGTAATTTTTTTCCAAAAATGGAAGTCAATAATAGTATAATTTTACAATGAACACATAAAAAATTTACAAAGAATTTTTATATTGTTAAATTTGCAAGTTGCATATTATTGTTAAGATAGCATCTAAATCAGGGCTCGAAAAACAGCCCGTCCTCGACGGTCAAAAATTCTCCGCGGACAACGAATTTCTCGAATCCGACGTCCGCGCGGACGGCCATTTTCCCGTTAATGTTCGTGATACATCTTACAAGAGTCTTGTAAGTTACAAGGCAGCAAAATGACCCACAATACAGCAACATACTGCGCATATATTGATGTTTTCTCTGTCTGGGAGTACTGCAGCGGTTGAAAGGGGCTTTGCAGCAATAAACTTACAAAAAAAAACACAATACGTACTGGTCTTAAAAAAGAAGCTTTAAAAGCAATTATGAACAACCACCTAAATGGAAAACCCATTTCAGATTTTTGTTCAGAAACCCCTGTAAATCATTGGCTTGATTGTGCAACTGGCAAACGTCATATTTGATTCATTTAAAAAACGCAGTACCCTCGGATAACTTGACCCTTGTCATTTAATTATTTCATAAAAGAAATACTAGGTTACTATTAGTAACCTAGTATTTCCTTTATTACTGTATAGTGTAATCCTAGTAACGACTAATTCATTGTGCAATTTATATAAATGTTTGTAATAAATAGAAGAAAATTACATTTTTATTTATTTAAAAGCGACGGGTTAGTTTCAACGGATGACGGGTGCATTGTTGGACAAGCCGTCCTCGGGGACGGGCAAAATTTCTGAGTTTTTCCGAGCCCTGATCTAAATATATAAGCATTAACTTTGGTGAAAAGTATCCTAATGTGAAACTAAACACTTTAGTTTCAAAATAAAAACTAGCACTACGAATTTTAATTGTGTGGTGGGTTGGAAACTGCCATAGTTATCTAATAAACTGGAATTTGTAATTTCACTCAATTTTAATATAGGGATTTGGCACATATACAAAATAAAATGAATGTTTTAAAATTCTTTTTTAGGATGATCCAGAATCACGACCAAGAGTGGTACTAATTTTGCTAAGACAAGAAAAGTACCAATACCATTCTCGTACCATTGATGGATGGATAGACATAAAAGACATTAGTTACAGGGGCTTGTGTTTGGTGCATGGTATGAGAAAGTCAACAATAACCAGTGTTGAGGTAAGACTATTTGATAATTATTATAAATTGGCAGTTACCTTTTTTAAGATGCAAATTTTAGATAAATTTGCTAATTATCTCTTGATAAATTTAAATTAAATTAATTAATTTCAAATATATATATTAAGCCTTTTTCTAAATTTGTTAACCCGTTTATTTTCACAAGTATATTAAAATAAAATGTATTAAATAGTTATAGATAATTTCACCGAATTTTTTGAGCTGTATTGGGATGATTTTAACGGAACAACGGTCTTATAAATAGAGGAATAGTGAACAAATAGGATAATTGAGATTTTTAATAAGCTTATAGTGAGCAAAAAAATTATGAGAGTAGTGAAATGTCATTCACTTCAGGCTTGTTATTCTCATTTTCACCACTATTCACATTTATTTATTTTTTTTTAACCTTTAATAAAAACTTTTAATCTATCTAAATCTAATCTTCTATAATAATTATCAAAATCTTTTTAAACTAAAATTTTAACTTAGTGCACAGAAATTAAGTAAAATTAAATAAATAGGGGTTTAATTACAAAATATTTTTTTTCTATAATCTTATGAAGATATACATTATTATTCATCTCAGAATCATAGCATGAGCTAAAACACACAAATCACTTAAAGTTCTTTTCAAAATGATTTTTTTTTCAAGTTCTACACATTAAAGATTCTATTAAATACAACTATATCAAAAGAGTTTCTGTACCGTTAACATAGAGTAACTCATATCACTTAAAATGTTCTTCCCAAATATGTAAATTTGCAAAATTATTTATATAGGTTCAACTTGATTTTCTTGGCGACCGCGATAAATTATTAAATAATATTTAAAAAAAATTTTTTTTAAACAGCCAAAAGGGCTATGCATTCAAGATTCTTTTAAGTACTACAACTATATCGAAAGAGTTTGTCCTTTTAACATAGAGTAACTCATATCATTTAAAATGTTCTCAAATACATAAATGAGCAAAATTATTTATATAGGTACTAGAACTCGATTTTCATTGCGACCGCGATTAACTACCAAATAATGTAAAAGAAAAAATAAATTTAAATAAATCCAAAAGGGATACAAATTAGATACGTTTAAATACTATGACTATATCAAACGAGTTTCTGTTCCATTAACATAGAGCTAACTCATATTACTTAAAATGTTCTTCCCTATTATGTAGATATGCAAAATTATTCATATAGATACTACTTGATTTTCATGGTGGCCAAGATAAACTAACAAATCATGTAAAAAAAAAATTTTTTTAAAAGTCAAAAGTAGCCAAATTAACAGTAACCATACACACTTTCACTTCCATTTAGGCTCACAATTCAAACTACGTGATATAATTTATTTTTTGTTCCAATTTAAACATTGGAGAAAAATTTGAACGATTTTTAATTTAGCGAGGACTGAGAAAGATTCCATTTCGTTTTTCCGGGAAAGAGAGGTATGCATAAATGGACACAAAACGAAACTTGAGGAAAGTTTATGGGAGTGCAATGTGAAAAGTTGTCAATAAAAAAAGGGGCCTTTTTTATGTTGGGAACAAACGATAAAGAGTTCATCTCCTAGTCTTATCTTGCGAAATTCATTTAGCGAAAATCCTATGGGAAAGACAAGCCTTTTGATTTAATATTGAAAACAATAGCGGAGATATAGAAGGTGCAAACTAAATGCGAATAATTCTTGGCTTTATTCTTGACGTCGTTTTAACAGTGATCAATGTGGAAATCAAGTAGTACCTTTATATTATTATTAGATCATGCTCAACACAAGATATTTAATCCTTTTACCTCAACTGAATATACCCAAAATCTTTTAAATCAACATTAACCACATATTTTTAGGAACTAGATGAAACTTTAGGATCAAGAGTTCCCCTGAATTTCACACTAACAATGGGGCATCTTTTTCACCCAAAAGATGCACTGATTCCGAAGCCTCCTGACTCATAACATTAGAAAAACATACATCATCTATAAAATATTCTTCTATTTGGAAGAGAAAAAAAGGAGGAAATTCTATTTTATTTTTATACAAAATTGTTTATGAAATAAAGACTAAATAGAAAAAGTTATTTCAGACTTGTTTATTTCAATAAAAACAAAACAAAAAAAATGCTACAAATGGAAATGAATGATGTAAACAGTGACACATACATAATGAATACAGCTGCACTGATTAAATGAATAACATGTGAAAAGAAGAATACTGGTCTTCTAAAATTTTGAAATTATATATTTCAATGACTTAGAATTAGCACTCAAGTGCACACAAAATATTTTATTCATTTTTTAAAAGAATTCAAATTATGCAATAATTTTTAAAAAAATATTTATAGATGAAAATTTCCTCTGCAACAAAATAGAATTCAGCAGTGTGAAGTCTGAGTTACATATTTCAACTACAAATTCCATCAAATTTGTTTTTTTGCACATAAGAAATACAAAACTACTGCTGGCACTCATAAATATGACAGAAAACTTAGATCAAACATCTAGACAAAATTAAATGCTAAATTTTATTCTATTGCAGTAATATTCAATTGATCTTTATTTTAAGATTTAATTTTGGCTATTTTTCACTTGCACCAATAGTATTTACCAGATTTTTTTTTCTTGTTTAATTTTAAACTAAAGCAATTATTTAAAGAAACATATTTAGATATTTAAAAAAATGAGAAATAATAGAACACATTATTAGAAAATTAAACAGATGCGTCAAAATGGACAAAAGACATTAAAAAAAGTTAATTTTTTTTAAACTTTCCCAAAGTTATCTTCTCATATAATTATTTATAACCAACAGTACACAACACAGTGTATCTTTTATTTCAAAAATATACTACGTAACAGACTGAACATTATAATTATTATATACACTTCAATACAGTAATACATTCAAATTAATATCAGATACAATTGGTGGCTAAGACACAATATGTACATATTAGCTAATAAAATTCGAATTTATAGAGAAAAAGCACTAGAAAAAATGAAATACTGAGAGATTTTCAAAGGAATAAAATACATTGCATTAAAAGGTCAAATTAAAATGTAATACAAACTAATACAAAATTTCAAAACTAACTAAATTAAAAACAAGATAGAAAAAAAAAGTTCAAACATTGATTTCAAATATAAATTTAAGATATTTAAGTTAAATTTATAAATGGTAACAGCTTGAGACTTAAATGATGTGGGTTTCGAAAAAAACATTTACATATAGTTATAAACAACTTCAATCATAACAAAATAACTACAGCTATAATAGCACACTTTATTTCTTTAATCTGTGAATAAGACGTGCAAAAATTATCAGTGGAATTATAAGAGAATGGTCACTTTCTATCAAAAATATTTGAAGGAAAGATAATAATAAAAAAAATGCTTAGAAAAATGTGGTGACAGTAGGAAACATAGCAAATTAAAAATATTAGTATAAAAAATGGCCAACAATATGGGTTATTTCATATCACATTGTATAATGTTTATTATTGGTAATTAATAAAACACAAAATAAACTAAATCTTTTTAATATTAACATTCCAAGTTATCTTTCCATAAAATTTCAGCTTCACAGTATAAATTTGATTAATGAAAGTATTAGCAAAATTAAAACCTTGAATTGGCATAATAAAAATTTAGAGATTAAAAATATTTAGGTCATTACCAGAAGTACTGAGTAAATTAATGTAGCCCATATAAAACTTTTATTCATCTAGGCACAATTTGATCATTTAAATTACTATTTAAGCAATTTTAACACCTCCGATTTTTCAGTGATCAGAAACAAAAATTAGAAACATTTCTCTAAAAAACTATCACTCACAAACTAGTGCTCTATTTAAACATACTGCATAACTATGCAGGAATTTAAACAATAAGATGTTTTCAGTTTCTTCATTTAGCACCTATGCATATTTCAAATTATGAAATCCATCATATTTTAACATTATAAAAATACAAGAATGAAAAAGGCAGTGAAAATTTTACTAATTTTTCACAATATTGAAAAAGTGCATTGAGCTTTATTGAGAAAAAAAATCAAATGATATGTCATTATCATAGCCAAGCTCTTTTAATACTCTACACTATATACACACTTAATTCTAAAAACTCGTCAAGCAATATTCCACTGTTGCTAAACAGATTGTCACTTTGAACAAATTTGATTTACAAGTGACTTTTTTTCCCATACTGAACTATAAACATAGAAATTTACTAGTGCTTTAATCCTTTATTGAATTATAAACATCAAAATTTACTAGTGCCTTTATCCCTTATTGAATTATAAACACAGAAATTTACTAGCGACTTTGCATGTTATAATTGATGTCATAGAGATTTACTAGTGGCATTATTTCATAGATAATTACAAACATGAAGATTTACTAGTGATTTCTTCTCATATATTAACATTTTTCAAGTTAGAGTTTCGGTAATATTGTAAAAATTGTAACAACTGTTATGGAATTTTCTTCTTCCTGATGGTGAAAATAACAATAAACAAATTACATACATTTTATAGATTAAATTGTAAGTATTTATGAAATTTTTTTACAATGAGTTCCAATTTACAAACTTGTTACAAAAAATATGAATTTTATAAGATGTTTTATACTTTCCATAATTATATTTTTAGGAGATAAAAAAAATTCACAAAATTTAAATATAAAAAAATTGTTAAAATGTAAAAACTGTTAAAATATCAATCATTATTAGAATGATTTAACGTACTGAAAGCATATACTATTTTTCAAACAGTATTTTGTTATTCAAAATCAAAAATTTTAAAATGACAAGAATTACAGTTTAAAATTAACATGCTTGCGTGTTTATAATTGTAACAAAAAGAAATATACTGAAATATTACACGCAGTTGTCAGAATTTATTTCATAATTTATTCTGCATTTTCAATTATAAATTAGTTTTTATGTTTTTTTATTAATGGTGTATATTATAAATATACAAATAATAATGCCTCAAGAAATAAAAATAAGTGTCCTTCTTCCCCATAAACAAATTTAAAAAAATCAACTTTTACAGAATAGTTTCCTGTAAAAATTAGGAGAAACATACTGGCAAGACATTGAAATAAACGTTAAACTATAACAAGCATACAAAATATATACAATTATTATTTTAGAAAATATTCTTAGATCCTAAAATTATACAGTTAGAAATTTCCTTTTTTTAGTTAAAATTTAAAAGTATTTTTTGATTATTTATCTCTTTACATTGCAATAAGTAGCTTAAAAATTCCGTCATTAAAAACTTGTAGAAGATTTCAATTTACTATAAATTTAGTTACACATTAATTGCTCTTTTTATCGACATTACTAACATAACTGAAATTACATTCCAAATTTAAAAGATTCAGGTATTTTTTTAATAGAAAAAATCTGAATACACATATGTAATGATCTTAACAATCTATAATAATTTAACCTTAACGGAAATGCTTCAATGATTTATATAAAATAAAATAAACAATATTTCGTAGATAATTTTGAAAAATTATATGATAAAAAAAATGTTCAATATTCATAGTAAATATCACTATTTTAAAATATGCACCATAATGCTTTTAACAACTACTTAACTGATACAACACTTAGAGGATAAATATACTATTAAAATTAAGATATATTTAGTTTAAATAAGTAAAAGAATACATATAACTTCATGCAAATGCTTAACTACTGTTTTTTACACAAAAACAATTGTTAAAAACAAACATAGGATTATTAAGGAAGGAAATAAATGAATGTATTTAGAGGAATTATGTATAACTGACATTAATTTTGGAAACAAACTGTACAACATAAACAACACTGATACATCTTTGTTTTTGCAACATCAACAAGAACGAGCACTCAAAGGAACATTTTTCACATCATTTTCAAAACACTTCACCTGAATGACACCGCAAGATTCATTATATCATAGCGTAAGAATCAATTACATCCACTTACTTGAATATAATCAAGCTTAATGTTGCTCCTGTAAAAAAGTAATAAATGAAATTAGCATTAAAAACTGCCTTGCCTAAAAAATTTCATTTCAAGTCAAAAACAAAAATCAAATGTGTAAACTCACATGTGTATTAATAACACATTATAAAATAAAAAAAATTATTACACAATTGTAGACTTCCAAAACCAAATTATTGAGCACTTATAAAATATCAAGCTGAGATGGCTGAGGGGATTGAGCCAGGTTCAAATCCCAGTGGTGACTTGTGGATACAAATTGTGCTCTCATCCAACACTGACCAAATGCTGACTTCAAAATATCCTTAATTGTCCCACAATGAACTGATTGTTAAAACATGGTTCCCCATACATCACAGAAGTCTAGCATCACTGGCAACGGTCAATGTGCAGAGGGACCTAGGGTAAACATTACCCATTCTTGTTAAACTGTTTTACCGTAAAGGGCTCTACTGACTACAGGAGAACCATCCCCTCGCTGTAGAGGATTAAAATTGTGATGGCATTCCTCAGATCAAATTTAGGGATGTTTCCCAGACTGTCCACAATAGCCCATCATGCAGCTCTAGTGCGACATAAATAATGTACTACTTACTAATGTACGTAGGAATTAGCTATCCTTGCTTATTTATGAGTTAGCAAAAACTTTTTATTGAAAAAAATATAGTCTAATAACATTACACAGATTTATAAATTGGGCTTATAAATTGACCAATCCTAAATCCTCAAAGAAATTTACCATTAAGTGCTTACCCCATTAATGATGTAAACACAAATCTAAAGACAAGGAAAATCCTTTTCATGATTTCACACTATGAAAAAATTTATCTAAAAATGCTCATGTATAATATTTTCAAAGTATTCATATGAATATATTATTTCCTTTCCTGGGCCATTTATATCACACTAACAAGGCACTCCTAACAATTTAAATGTTTTGGCATCCTCAATTCAGATCTAATTCTTAAAATTTTATCCGTTATTGTTCAGAAATTACAAACTTTTATATTTAAAAGAAATCACTTTCAAGCAAGAGAAATGTTCATGTTCTCATTCTTTCAAAAGGCTTGTTGTAAGCACATTTTTGAAGGGAATTACATAAGCTTTCATATACAATAACATTATTTCAAATTAAATTAGGCAGGCTCAGTTTTGTTGGCTCAAGACAGCTAAAATTTGACTCAGAGCATCATAAAAAACATATATATAAAGCTTATGTAAAGTGGTAAAATTTCATTCTATCTAATCCAGTAAAGTGGTGTTTTAATAACCATTATTGATTTAATGACTCAAAATACACTTTTTTGAAGAAATAGTGAAATGCCACTCAAATGGAAAATTTGAGAAGCCAAACTTTTGTCAGTTTAATATGCTCACTTGCTACTCCAGTTTTTTGTGTCTTAGATTAAACCTTGGAAATAAACAGATATGCCGAACAGCTGCGCTGTTTCTAATACCATTTGCCAATACTAGCAAGACTGCTTGATGAAATCAGGCAAATTTAGCGCAGAGGGAGTGTTTCTTGTTTTTTTGTGGAGCCATCTATGGCCAAAAATAAGACTTCAGCCACACATCACAGCCCATTTATAGGGCAGACGCATTCATTCATCCACAGATCATAATTTTGACCTGAACTAGAGAACGATCAATCTCCAATTCAGTATCCCCGGAGGTATAATTTGTTATGGGAGCATGGAGGACTTAGCAACCCCACAGATTTAACATACACCATTTACAACACAGGGAGTCTCAAATTTCCGCATTCTGGGACTCAATCCTAATGGGTCGAAGGGATAATCTCATATATATTAATTTAGTGCAGATGAATAAACATGGCTTTTTCTTGTGATAGATTTCGATCTCAAAGTATAACTCTTAATATATATTTATTATTTTTAATTTGATTTAATAATAGTGAAAAAAAATTAAATTTTATTGTATTCTATATTTTTACCTCATTTTAAAAAATGCAGTTTTAAATGCAAAATACAAAATTGGTCAAATAGTTTGGTTGAAGAAAATTGGTCGAAAAAATATATTGTCATATGTCGCTGGAGGCGCTTTCTATTATAAACACTTTCTTTGAGTGCTTCCGATCATGTCATAATAGAGAAGCATCCCTACCCGCATGTGACTACATATTTAGACATGGGGTTCTTCCCTGCAATTTTAATTCTGATGATATTCTGTAATTCACTTAGATATGTGTTGCAACATTTACGTTACTCCTGTTACATATAACATTTTTATACTTGTACATTTAGACAAAAATTAAGACTAGAAATTTCATTTTAAAAAAAGAATCTGTAGGTTCAGGAGCAAAACTAACTTCAGATTTGAAATCACGACACTTGAATCAGGCAAGATCAAGCATTTGTATAATTATAACAAAAACTTTGTTCCTCGGAGCAATTTATGTAATATGGGTCTCGCAAATCACAAAGATTGCTACTTAGTTTTTTACAAATACAATCATTAAGTCACATTTTATGCTAGGTCTAACTTATGTAAAGTAAATCTAGAGTGATTGAACATTCAGAGCAATATCATTTTATAGACTTATTAAAAGATTCTGAAGCTCAACATTAGTATAATATGTTGAATGTATTATATATATATATATATATCTTTCGTTATTTAGTGATTGGTTGGGCCATACCAAGTGTATCATTTCACATTTCTAAAGAGAACAAAATATTTTTTTAAAAAATAACTCTCTTACCTTTTATTTAAAAAAAATCTTGGTACTTTTTCATGTTCATTCAATTTCTCCAAGAAAATCATGATAACCTTCAGCTCCAGTAAAAATAACATCGACCCAGATTCTCATTGCTTCAGGAGTTGGAGCCATCAAATAATAAACTCTATCGTAAGTTTTAACACAAAATGTAGATTGAGGATTTGGACTTTTTACCGAATGTAAATGATCCACATATACTTCCTCAATAGCCTAAAAATTCAATAATTTAGAGTTAACATAACAATAACAGTATTAATTCTATCATTATAAACTCGTTAGCTTTTAGGCAGATTTTTAAACTTGATAAACTGATTTTTAAACTGAAAAGGTATCCAATGTTAAGTTTACAAACAAAATGTAAAGAAATTGAGAAGTTTGCCTAAATTCACATTGCATGCGTATATTTTTAAATAACCTGGAATCAAATAATTTAGTTCAAATTAGATAACTGGGCAATAAAACATAATATGACTAACAATGCGCAGCTTTTAAATCACAGATGAAAATAGATGTTTGATATTACAAATGTGTGAATACGAAACGCGATATTGAGTTTTAAAAAAAAGTGTGAATATGAAACGTAAATACTAAAATAGATTTTTGAAATTAAAATCGTGTGAATAAGAATCGCAATGTTAGCGGATACCAGCAATAATCTACCAACACAAAAAAAAAGTTTAGAAATATACATTTTAGATTTCAGAACTCAATGAAAATTTCGGCGGTTTATACATTTTTGATTCCTGGTATTCCGCAATATTTGCGAAAAAAATCATCCTAGATTTTTAACACAGAAAGATTATATGAAAAATCCAAAAACAGGTACACCTGTTAATAAGTTATAACAATCTTGCAATATTTTAAGAAACAAAAATAGATTGAATTTTTAAAAAGAATCATTAAGACAACAAACTTCTTTGCCAAATATTTTAGCAAAAATATTTAAACTAACAAAAAAAATTATATTTTGCACTTACTTGAAAATTAACACCTCCTTTAAGTTTAGTCTCGCCCTTGTCACTATAATATAACAACGCCTTTTGAATGCGGTCAAAGACAAACCATCGCTTTCGCCAGGTTTTCCAGGTTCCACCTAACTTATGAAGATAACCATGACAAGAAGTGGATGTTAAGTGAATATGGATACAAAGTTCAATTTGATGTCCAGCTGTTTCTATATGCTGGCGCAAATCAAATTCAGAATTTCTTATAGGAAGATAACGAGTAAGTGGACGCTAAGAAAAAGAAACAAATATTCCCAGATTAAAATAGGATAAAAACATAAGCAATAAAAATTACAGTTTAAGTAATGATTAATTAAAAATGATTTTCTACATATATAATTACAACATTAATTGGTAAGGTACTAACATAATCTTATTTATTTCAAAACCACATTACAATCAGTTTACTGAACACTCATATCTGCCAGCCCCATTTTTTAAAATACAGGAAATTGGTGGTTAATCTGTGTTTGGTTTTGCTACAAAATTGCATAAGGTTTCATGTGTTTACAATTTTTATTCAAAGAATCAACAATATAGTTATTGGAATATTGTATTTTACAAGTGAAACATAAAGGTTTTAACACAAACGTTTCAAATAAATCCAAAATAGAAAGAAATGTGACTGAGATCCCTTGTGCATACAGTTGCTTAATGTCTTATATTTTGCATTAATTTGTGACTCATAACATAAATTAGGCTGAAGCACAACGAAAATTCAAGGTCATTATCTGAGTGAGGTAGAGAAGAGCACATCATAACACATATATATAAGTAGTTCCTAGAAGTTACAAAATTTTTTTGTAAATTTTCAAAAAACAGAAGATTTGAATCATAGTGCAGAAATGCAGTAAATGGTACATTACAAGAGCAGAGTTGGGAGCTTATGACTCATGAACTGAACAAAGAGTCAGTGTGAGTAGGAACTTATCATCATTTAACCTCATTGCTTACTTAACTAAAAGCAGTTTTCCCAATTCGAATCAAAATGAACATTTAAGCATATCCTTGCAATTCTTCAGATCAGGGGTAGTTTACATGATTTTCTTCTCCTTGAGATGAAAATGTAGGTTAGTTTAACTAAGTCCTCCATTCAGACGAGTTTGTACCAAAGGTGAATCAAAGAGTACCCATGCCCTAGGTGTTGGGTTAATTAAAAGTAGAATTGAATGTAGGGTTTATGAGCACAAAGAAGTTGCATCAAACAGTTTTAGCTCAAAATTATAACACCACATAGCTACTATGGATTGGCTGTTCCACATTAAGTAGAATTTAAGATAATGCAACAAACAGGGTAAACTCATAAAAGGAATTTTAAAACATGTATATTTAGGTTAACTATTTAAATGGAAATTTGTGTCATGTAAAACATAAGGGACAAGAGAGGCATAGTTTGTTATGTATTTTTGATTATGTTAAATCAAATGCATAGAACTAATAGCACTGAAGCTATAAAGATTGTATATGCAGATTAGTATATATCAAAAATTATAATTTCATTTATCGAACAACTTTTATTTCATCTAAACTATCAGGGGTCTGTCTAGGTTTTTATGAGAGGTACCTATTTATTGAAATTTTAGACATAATTTATGAAAATTAAAAATTATATTAAAAAATCAACACAAAAATATGGTTAAATAAGAAGATATTTTCAAAAATACTAAAAATAAAAATTATTTATGACTGGTAAATGTTTATAATTTTTTTTTACCCATATATTCAAAAATAATTTTGCTATTGTAAAATTTTGAGCTTAAAAGTGTAAACAAATTTAAAAATCCATAAGTCATTGTCCATTGTTAAATTTCAACTTGAATTTTTTTTTTTTTTAACATGCATTTAAAGTTATTTTCATTATGAGAACATTTCTCACGGGGCCATATAGAAAAGTTTCACTGAGAAATAAATCTTTCATAAAAAAATAAAGGTCTGTTAGAATAAATTTAGAACAATGTTCGAATTTCAACTTCCTGCAAAATTGACAGAGTCCTTTGATTTTTAAAAAAAAAAAAATGCGAAAAATTCTCGCCATAATACAGCGTAAGCGACCGATTAAGCTTACTATACTGCACTACCCGACCAAGTACGTGCTACCTATTTGTATATGCGGAATAAATCCGGGATTTATCATTTCTTACGGGGATACAAAAATAAAATTTTAAGAGGCGGGAAGGAAAATCTTAGAACTTGAAAAAAATCCTTATAAAAAATGTCATTTCCCCTAACGTTTAAAAAAACTTGCTCTTAATTATGATTTTATTTGACTTAACATAGAAAAGTACATAAGAAACAATTCCCCATTTGTTTAGGTCGCAATGTCATATGAGTACAACTCTGTTTTCTAGCACATAAAACATTAATAACTTCAAAACATTTAGATAGTCCTCTGGGCTTGGAATATATTTCATTGATTTCAACGCAATAAAACACGTTAGAAACAATACCTCATAGTCAAGATAAAAACAAAGTTTTCCCCTTGAGTTTACACCAAAAAGTCATACCTTTCTAAACACATTTTTGGTTACAGGATTGCATAACTAGGCACATATTGCCAGAATTAAGAATAAAAAGTTGTTTACTATCGTACCCTGAAAAAAAACCTTTTTTTTTTAATTATCAGCATTAGCAAGCATACCAAGTTTTCTTTTTTTTTTATTGGTAGTAGCATACAAAAATAAACGACATATTAGAATATAGAACCTGACTATATTTTATACAACATATTAGAATATAGAACTTGACATCTTGAAAGCAGACCTATATTATACATATTTTTGTGTGCATATAAATGTGATGTATCCAAAAAGATGAATATAAGTAGTACGTAGTAATATTTCTTAACCTATACAGTATGAAGTAAAATAAAGATATAACTTCATATTAAAAAGATCATGTAAATTAACATAATTATTCTTTGTTGAGGGCTAAAAAAATCAATAGAATAAAAAGAAATATTGTATTAATTTTATAATAGAGTCTGTGTAAACATAACTAAATTCTCAGGTAATAAAAATTTTACATCTATATTCAATTTTATTTCAAAAAGAGAAATACAAAATGAGTAAAAGTAACTGTATAATAAGAGGTAAACATGTGACTCAATCAGAATGAAAAATACTCAAATGGCATAGAGATGTTAATTTTATAGCATATTTTGAGATATTAATGCACAATTATACAGAAAGCACTACTCAAAAAGTACTGGAAAATCACATTTTCAAGAGGCTAAGTAATTGCTTTCAAGATTTACCAGTACTTAGGAATTTAATTAATTCTTCAAGCAAAAAAACAAGGAAAAGATTTTTTTTTTCTTAAAATCTTACCTGGGACCTAGGTTTATCTCTTAACTTGACTTCAAAGTTTCCATTTTGATGGTGATGATTAACTAAAGGTGTTTGTTCTTGAAATGTTGCTTGTATGGCACGTTCTCTCTGAAGGACCTATAAAATATAGTTATAAACTTATTCAATTCTATATAATCAATAATTGCAAATGCACATGGAAAGACAAATTCTGTTAGAACATAATTAAACATATCATAGCATATATACCATAAATTTAAAAAGCAAAACAGTTTAAATAGATTCTGTCATAAAAACAACAATCACTTTAAAATGTATAAGGAAATAAGATTTTAACTGCCTGGATTTTTAATTGTTTAGATAGGAAACTAGATTTTATCGAAATTCTGGATAGGACCTTAGTTTAGGATAGTTCAGGGATTGGGGTGTACAACCATAGCTAGGAGCTGAATACTGTGCTTGATTGTAAAATAGCATCAGAAATTTAATTTCTGTGCTATATATGTAGTGTTTTACAATCATCAGTAACTTTAAAGCTGGGATCCCCTGCTTAGTAGGAGGCTTGGCGTATGTTTCTGATACTGAAAGTTTGAATCCCGCTGGTAGTGTATTAAATGGTAACTGGGGCATGTTGAATCTGTAAGGGTCCCAAAATTTTTCCAGTTCCCATAACAAATCAAAACCTCTGGGGGGTACTAAATTGGAGATTGATCTTTCTCTGGTTCAGGTCAAAATTACAATTTATGGATGAATGAATGGGTAATCCCTATAAAACGGGCTGTGATGTGTGTGGCTGAAGTTGTATTCTTGTCCATATATTATGCCACTGAAAAACAAAAAAACTTATCCCCTGTCTTAAAATCGCTTGGAATCTCCATAACAGGCTAGCTAGTATTGGCAACTGGCATTAGTAACAAAAGAAATTTTATAAAAGCTTTTTAAACTAATATCAAAAAACTTAGGAGGAAAAACTAAATTGTAAAAAAAAAAAAAAAAAACTTAAGAGGCGACTGTTTATCAAAAGCAGCAGTATTTGATTGGTATGAAAGTTTTGAAATTTAGAAATTCCGTCAAAGATGACCACCCGTTCTGGTAAACCCTTCACTTTGATTAATGATCAACAAATAGATCAAGTCAAGGAATTGATACTTGGTGATTTTTTGACAGTATTTAGACAATACTCTGTTTTGAGTTAAGAAAAAACCAATATCCCTATGGAGGGAACCTGTTTGCCTCTAAGTGTATCAACAACGCTACTGTTGCACGATCTTCTTATTGCTTGCTTTCCTAAATTATGTGAAATGAGGAAAACAAAGCTTATTGAATAAAAGCTATTGTTTTGTTTCCCATAAAAATAGAAAGTTGTATCATATTTAAATACTATTTTCTGTTCAAGTTTTAAGGAACGGATGAATTATAATAAATTTTCTTTCTTATAAACAATTTTCTTCTACAGCGAAATAAAAGTAAAAACACTTTAAATTAATTTTCTGTCTAATGTGCTTAACTTTTGAAATCGAAATAAAAGGGCACTTTATGCAGTCACGGATGATTACCTAAATCCTATACTGCAATAGTCTTTTTTGTAATTTGCAACAGAGTATAAATTAAACAACTCCTTGTGTCATTTATTTCCTTTCAAGCAATTTTAAAGAAAGCATAAGCAAAATTTTCTAAGGCTATTTTGTTAATTGTAAAGAACATGAATTTACGTATTACAAATACAGTGACAAAAGTAAATTGAAATCGGAGAGAGAAAATAAATTCTTGATTGTAAATTGGTACTTTTTGTTTTTAGCCACAANATATATATATACATACATATATATATACATACATATATATATACATACATATATATATACATACATATATATATACATAAGTTTCAAAATACAGAAGATTTGAATCATAATGCAGTAAATGATACATTACAAGAGCAGAGTTGGGAGCTATGACCCATGAACTGAACAAACACTCAGTGCGAGTAGGAACTTGTCATCATTTAATAAATAAAATTTTAAGAGGGATCCAAAAATAAAATTTTAAGAGGTGGGGAAGAGAATCATAGAACTTGCTTTTTTAAAAGCATTTTATGAAACTACCATTTTTCCCAAAGTTGAATTTGTGAAAGTAGTGCTAAACGGTAGTAAATTTGCCCAGGACAGACCCCTGACTATGGTTTCTTAAACTTTTTGTTGTGAGGAATCCATAATATTTATGAAAATTTTGTGAAACTCCATAAGCATTGCACAAATCCGATATTCGCAGAAGGGAAACTGTTTGCACCGTAGTATAATAATGCAATTTTATGACATTAACTTTAATTTCAAGACATGGATCAGTGTAAAAATTAAAAATAAGTTATGGACTTTTAAAAATAATACAATTATAAAAATAAATTCTAACATTAACTATAGTCTGTCCATAAAGTGTAGCCACTTAAAAGGTCACTAGTTGAGTTAAAAAAAATATCAGAATCTCTGTAATTTTTTGGTGACCTCATTTGGGATCATGACCCACAATTTAAGAATCTCTGCTTTAAACTATTACTCGATCAACACAATAACCAGAAATTGAAAGAAAAAAAATAGTCTTATTTCGAATATTTTTGAATGGCTTTTAATCTCTTCCATGCTAAGTCAACTGAAAGTTCTAATAATAAAGTCCTAATAATTAGAGTGGAAGTAGTGGAACACAAAATGGTTAGTGTACTCAAAAAAATAAAAAAATGTCAAGTTTCCCCTTACGTTTAAAAAAACTTGCTCTTAATTTTGATTTTATTTGACTTAACATAAAAAAGTACATAAGAAACAATTCCTCATTTGTTTAGGTGGCAATGTCAGATGAGTACAACTCTGTTTTCTAGTACATAAAACATTAATAACTTCAAAACATTTAGATAGTCTCCTTTGGACTTCGATCATTTCAACGCAATAAAACACATTAGAAACGATACTTCATAGTCAAGATAAAAACATTAAGTTTTTCCCTTAAATAATATCCACCAAAAAGTTATACCTTTCTGAACACTTTTTTGGTTACAGGTTTGCGTAACTAGGCACAAATTGCCAAAATTAAGGATAAAAACAATTTTACTATTGTACCTTAAAAAAAAAAACTTTTTTTTAAATTATCAGCATTAGCAAGCATACAAAGTTTTCTTTTTTTTCCTCTTATTGGTAGTAGGGTACAAATAAAAACTTAAAAAATTATTTAGAAGTTGTATAAGACATATCAGAATATAGAACTTGACATCTTGAAAGTAGACCTATATTATACATATTTTTGTGTGCATATAAATGTGATGCATCTAAAAAGATGAATATAAATAGTATTAGTAATATTTCTTAACTTATACAGTATGAAGTAAAATAAAGATATAACTTCATATTAAAAAGATCATGTAAATTAACATAATTATTCTTTGTTGAGGGCTAAAAAAATCAATAAAATAAAAAGAAATATTGTATTAATTTTATAGAGTCTGTGTAAACATAGGTAATAAATTTTTAGGTAATAAAAAAGTTACAATTTTATGAAACAATACTTCATTTTTACATCAATATTCAATTTTATTTCGAAAACAGAAATATAAAATGAGTATAAGTTATTGTATATAAGAGGCAAACATGTGACTCAATCAGAAAGAAAAATACTCAAATGGAAATAGAGATGCCAATTTTATAGCATATTTTGAGATATTAATGCACAATTATACATAAAGATACTGGCAGCATTACTCAAAAATTAATGGAAAATTACATTTTCAAAAGGCTAAGTAATTGCTTCCAAGATTTGCCAGTGCTTAAAGGAATTTGATTGATTCTTCAAGCAAGAAAACGAGGAAAATATACATATATATTTTTTAAACCTACCTGGGACCTAGGTTTATCTCTTAACTTGACTTCAAAGTTTCCATTTTGATGGTGATGATTAACTAAAAGTGTTTGTTCTTGAAATGTTGCTTGTATGGCACGTTCTCTCTGAAGGACCTTTAAAATATAGTTATAAACTTATTCAATATTATATAATTCGATATAATCAATAATTGCAAATGTACATTAAAAGATAAATTCTGTTAGAACATAATTAAACATATCATAGCATATTATAAATTTAAAAAGCAAAACAGTTTAAATAGATTCTGCCATAGAAACAACAATCATTTTAAAATGTATAAGCAAATAAAGTTTTAACTGCCTGGATTTTTAATTGTTTAGATAGGAAACTAGATTTTAGCCGAATCAGAATTCTGGATAGGACCTTAGTTTAGGATAGTTTAGGGATTGGGGTGTACAACCATAGCTAGCAGCTGAATACTGTGCTTGATTGTAAAATAGCATCAGAAATTTAGGTTAGTAGGAGGCTTGGCTTATGTTCGTGATACTATGAGTTCAAATCCCGCTGGTCGTGTTTTAAATGGTGACTGGGGCACGTTAAATCCGGCGGGGTCACAGAATTTTCCCAGTTCCCACAACAAATCAATACCTCAGGGGGTACTAAATTGGAGATTGATCGTTCTCTGGTTCAGGACAAAATTACAATCTGTGTATGAATGAATGGGTAATCCCTATAAAACGGGCTGTGATGTGTGTGTGGCTGAAGTTGTATTCCTGTCCATATATTATGCCACTGAAAAACAAAAAAACGTATCCTCTGCCTTAAAATCGCTTGAATCGTCCGTAACAGGCTTGCTGGTACTGGCAACTGGCATTAGTAACAAAAGAAATTTTATAAAAGCTTTTCAAACAAATATCAAAAAACTTTGGGGGGAAAACTAAATTGTAAAAAGAAAGGGTTAAAAATACTAAATTAAGGTGTCAAAAGATTTACACCATTTCAATAATATTTACTTTCTTAATGAAAATTTTCTCTAAAACATGCAGAAAACGAATGTTTATGAATTATAAAAAAATTATATAAAAAAATTAAGAGATGTACGAATAATTTAAGTACAATTACAATAAAAACAGTAAAATTATCCTAGAGGATGTTGAAAACCTAGTATAGTATAATTTTATTAAAAGAAACAATGTGCAAAACTTTAGAATTTCTTTTTCTTCAAAAAACATTAATAAGGGGATGTAACTGCAGAAAGCTTCAGCAAAATAAAGAAGAGCAGCTATGACTCATAAACCGAACGCTCAGTGTGAACAGCGCTTGTCATCATTTAACATGCTTAGGTTTTAAAATTTTTGAATCTCTTTTAATATTGTTCTAATTACAACAAAAATAATTATTATCAATCCTTATAAAAACTTAATTCTCCGCAGCCTCTGAAAGCCAAATTCCCTTCTTTGCAACTACCTTCTGTGAAAAGTTTTGAAAGTTGGATATAGTTTGCTTTTCAGCCAAATAAACTGGTTTACTTAGAAATCAATCTGCGGTAAAGGAGGGAAATCTCAGACAGGAAAGTTCTATAAACATTTAGGGATGTAACTTAACAGTTAAAGGAAAGGAAATTATTAAAAATATTGTAAATAATTACTAACTAATTGGTAGTTTATTGTAAAGGCGTTGCTAAACACTTATATCCTTCATTTAAAAGACAAAACAGTCTAAACTGATTTATTCATTCATGAAACAACCTATTTTAAACAATTTAAATTTTTAAAAAATAATACGATGAAACTTTTGAAGTATCCAAATTTTCAAATTCTAACACAACAGTAAAAAATGAAAAAATTATTAAAATCTAAATTCTGTCAACAGTGAAACAATAAATTTTTAAATATTTTAATCATTATAGAAACATACAATTTATTAATTAGGTGAAGCTTTAAAAAAAATATACCAAATTATTAAACAGTATAACAAGACTGTAAAACGCTATAAAAATAAATATCTATAGATTACTTTTATGTAAAACTTTGTTACAAAAATATATATAAAGCAGAAAATAAAATTGTTACAAAAGAAACTGATTTCAAAGTGAAGTGGAAAAAATTACTAATCGATTTCATAATTCAAGTAAATACTGACATAAATAAGAGTGCATGAGACGATGTTTCTTTAGAATAAAATGAATAATATTGTTATCGGATAAAAAAAACTAACGAAATGATAATCTAGACCTGCAGATCTAAAATAAAATCTCCAATAAAAAAAATTAGCCAGTAAATAAAAAAGTATAGCAATATGACACACACTATTCAACAATTTAACTATAAAATTATAAAACACTGATCTTGACTCAATAATAAAGCACTTAATTTCACAATTTAAGCAGAATTGATAAAATCCAAGAATACTACAAAAAATATTTTTTTAAAAAATAATAAACAACTTTTGACAATAACCTAAAAACAAAATAAGCACTGTGAAGGAACGTTTAAGCGTTGATACCGCCTATACCCGTTTTCAAATATGAAGAAAAAATTTTAGAAAAAAGAAAAAAAAATGCAAATTAACATAAATTTAATTTCCAAATATGATAAAATGGAATTTAATTCTACAAAATAATTTTTTATAAATAACATCACTCAGAAATAGTGATGATATACATTAAAAGAATGCCGGTGGAACAAATTATGATAATTAAAATAAAATGCGAAACAAACAAGAAATGGAAGATAATATATATTTATAGGGATAAACTTATTAAAAAAAATTTAACAATTCTACAAAAGAAAATCTACATCTACAAACAATATTTTTATAAAATGTTCCAACACACCTGCTGCTTCAAAAATAAACACATATGATCACAATACATTATTCATCCTAACTCTTCAAAGGACTTTTCTTTCAATCAAAAAAGGCTAACACACATCCCACACTAAGTACGAAGTCCAAATAATTGAGTCTTGATTTACGTAACAGACTGAAACATCCATACGTTCACTTGGCGTATTTCCTACTCTAAATCAGCCAACGTTTGAACAAAAAGTATGTTACTGTTTCATTCAATCAATAAGAGAGTTAATAGACATAAATTTTTATCGATTTTATTACGAGAAAGTTTAGTGAAGTTCGAGTAACTACACCTGCAACGATCACTAAATGCGTGATTCTGGCGAGTTGAAATCTATGAAGGTTAAAAATAAATTCTCTGGAAGAAAGAGTGAGTAGAAAATAAAAAGTGATAAGGACATAGGCGAGAAGTTGAAACGATTTTAAAGTTGTTGTTTTTTTATATTTCATTTTCCTCTTTCAGGATTTCATAAAGCTATTATTTAATCTTTAAAACCTTCAAGGCTGTACGGATGTGACGTATGTAAACAACTGAGGTAATTTTAACAACAAGGAAAAGCGACCTACAATTTTGCGAAATAAAAACGAATGAAGTATAACGCGTTTTCTCGCTTTATTGAATGAAGTATAACGAGTTTTCTCACTCAAAAACAATTTTTAACCTAACCACAATAAAATTCAATTATTTATTTATTAAAATCTTTATTTTATTTTTAAAGAGTTAATGTAATTAAAATTCATACTATTTCCCCTAGAATGGTTAAGAAATATCTACAACAGGCGAAATTTATAATAAACGATTTTGCAAATCTGAATTATGAAGACTATGACACCATAAAACGTATACTATTCTCAAGAGCGGATACAGAAATCTTTCCTCGGGGGGGAGGGGGGTCAAAGACTCAGATTCCCCCTTATACCCCCTTAAATAATTTTTTTAAATATTTTATTTCTTTCGTAAACTATTAAAAAAAAATTCAATTTTTTTTTTTTAAAAAAAATCAATTTTTTTGGGGGGGGGGTCGTGACCCNTTTCCCCCCCCCCCGATGGATCCGACACTGACTATTCTAAATTTGGTATTTGCAAGAAACGGCAATTATAAATAATAAAAATTAAATGAAAATGCATTTTTTACGATACAGCAATATTATATTTTAATCAATAGTACAGTGACGGTAAAAAGTTAAGTTTAGGACCTCTTTAAATAATTTTTAAATAATTTTTGTTTTTTGAAATGCATTTTATTAAAACAACGCAGTCAGATTTTACTTTAAAATGCTTCAAACATTTTTATGTATATATATTCTTGTTTTTAATTAACACTTTCTGAAAATCGCATTAATTTCACTTTATCACTAACACAAAACGAATTAAGTCGTATACCAAATGACTTACCCGAAATCATGCAGATTTCGAGATATAATACATAGTTTCAAAACTAACTGCAAACGAAAACATTATTTAATCTTTTCATTAAGAGTTTTTTAAAGAAATCGAAAGTAATAACACCCCAAAGTTAAGAGTAAAACTGGATTAAACTTTGGATGAAATCCAAAATGTCTCCCTTTCCTCGTCAATGTCAAGTGGTTAATATTGATGACCAAGCAAAAATGTGCTTAATTCATTTTATTTTTTTCATTAAAAAGACTTACGCGGATATTAAAACTTATATCCAAGAGTGATAAGGGTGAGGTTTAAATGATGACATAAAACCCTACTTAACCATCATCCGCAAACACCATCCCCCATTTTTAACTATACATTTACGTAAGCAGAAGATTACCGCGTAGTCGTTATTCTAAAAGAAATAAAATGTCCTTTTCCAATAAAGATATACTTCTTTCCTAGTATCATATGACAACATGGATAGGTTATATTTAACGAAACATAAATTTCATGATAATTGTTGCATAATGTTCTAAATATTTAACGCATAGAGAATTTAAGGGATTTTTGCAGTCATTAAAATAGAAAAATTGCAATATTTTCCAGTTATGATTGACATTAAACATACTTGAATTGTTATGTATTATGTATACTCATAATTTCGAATATTGAAAGGCATTTAATTCATCAAAGATAGTTGATTTTTTTTAATTAATTTAAAGAGAGAGCTCTGAATAAAAATAAACTGAACAATTTATAACAAACAAACAAAAAAAGAATTGAACTGATTTCTATAAATGAGGTTCGCTTCGTTATATATTAGTAAAACTTATTTAAATATTAAAGCAAGCAAGCAATAATCTGTACAAAAATTCTATTTCAATTGGGATTTTTTTAAGAAACACACTCAAT